AACAAAAGAATTAAATATCTGTTTCTTTACTGTGAATATCTATAAAATGCAAAATATATAATTGTTTAATTAGAAAATAAATAAAAAAAAATAATAAAAAAATTAGAAAATAAAAAATAAAAAAATAAAAAACAATAGAAATAAATAAAAAATAAAAAAACAAAACAAAATTAAAAATAATAAAAGAACAAAAAATTATAAGTATAAAAAATAAGCTTGTAAAAGTTGGAAATAATCACACATAAATAAAGTCTGTTGTTTATTATATAATTTTTCTTATTTAAATTATTGTTATCATACATATTTAGCGCTATATAATTTACAAAAATTTCAGATTTTTGAATTCAAAAAATTTTTTTAATTATAATTATTATTATTAATTCTACAATTTACAAGAGCAGTCGGGGAGACGCCGCGCGTCTAAAAACTGTAACGTCCGTTGAGTATCGATATTTGTGTTTGTGTCTATTTATTACATAAAACGTGCGCGTGCGTATATGTCTCAAATTTAGCGCGGCGTCTCCCGACTGCTCTTGTAAATTGTAGAATTAATAATAATAATATAATTAAAAAAATTTTGAATTCAAAAATCTGAAATTTTTGTAAATTATATAGCGCTAAATATGTATGATAACAATAAATTTAAATAAGAAAAATTATATAATAAACAACAGACTTTATTTATGTGTGATTATTTCCAACTTTTACAAGCTTATTTTTATACTTATAAATTTTTTTTGTCTTTTATTATTTTTAATTTTTGTTTTGTTTTTTATTTTTTATTTATTTCTAATTGTTTATTTTTTATTTTTATTTTAATTTTTTTATTATTTTTTTTATTTATTTCTAATTTAAACATTATTTTTTAATTTAAACATTAAAAACTTAGTTGGCAGCAGTCGGGAGTTTTTTTTTGTAAAAAATTGTATTATTATTTTCTAATTTTTTTATTTCTAATTTATTTTTATTTTCTAATTTTTTTTTTCTAATTTATTTTTATTATTATTTTCTAATTGTTTTTTATTTTTATTTTTTTTTTATTGTTTTTTATTTTTTATTTTTTATTTTCTAATTTTTTTATTATTTTTTTTTTTTTTTTTTTTTCTAATTTATTGCTGTTCTTATGCTGTTTCTTCATTCTTTTGTCTCTCTGCTTCTTCATCCTACACATGTAAAAGTTTTATTATGTAATATATATATTACAATGTATATAATATAATAATAATAATAATAAAGACACACATACACTCACCATGTGACTGCAATGTTCTATATTCTTTCCAAATATTTTTCTGCTACAATTTTTTAATTAATATAATATAATATAAATAGAGAGATAAATAAAAAAAAATAGCTAGATAGATAGATTGATAGATAGAGAGAGACAGATGACAAAGACAGATGACAACAATATCTTATATCAAATACGTAAACTTGTACGCAGTTATAATTATGGCTTGACAAATATATTAACTTTCTTATGGCTATATAAGTTTATACATTATGTAATCACAAGTAAGTTTATATATTGTATAGCCTTAATTATTATTACATATGTGAATAATCTTTTGTAGTAGATAATTGGCTATGTAAGTTAATATATTTGTCTGCATTGCCATAATTATTGGTGCGCTAATATCTTTGTATAACTATAAATATATTTGTATACATATTTTTAATTAATTATATAATTATTATATAATATACAAATAAGAGAAAAAATAACTATATACATTTATACAATTATATATGTGGATATTTATAGCAATGTGGCTACGTAGCAAATTTAATAGCAAATAAGTGGCTACGCAGACAAATATAAATTCATATAGCCATGTTATGACTACAACAGATTAATTATATTATTAATTATATTATATATTTTTATTAATTATTAATAACAAGATTTACTGTTTTCTATTATTAATAATGTTTTCTTCTTCAGATATCTTCAAGCGAGTATCTTCTTCCTACATATAATAAAGAAAAATAAATAAATAATAATAACAATATTCTAAATAAAGAAAAAACAATAAATATAAAAGAAGAAACTTACTCCTTTATTTATATCTTCTTGAGATATATCCATAATAATACACTTCACTTAATATTGTTGTTGACAATAACACGCAACAGGTGACAGCTAACCTTCCTATCAGTCCCGTCATTATTACTTCGAGATGTATATACCAATGTCACCAACATTCCTATCCGGATACTACAACGAATCTCATGGTGAATCATTTTTCCTCTTAGGTTCACACAGCAGCCAATGAGAGACCGTATTGACGAAAATAATACTCATTTTCACTTTTTATTAATAGAATAAATAACGATAATAATACGCTTTTAAACCTTCCTTGATTAATAAGAAACTTATGTTCCAAAGTTGATATAAAACTATGCAGTAGTTATCGAGAATTAAGGTCACGACCGATCCGGGCTCGATGAAACGCATACTTCCTCTCTTTTCGCCAACCTACGGTTGGCAGCAGTCGGGAGAAAAAATGATCTTATTATTTTTTATTTTTATTTAATTTTTTAATAATATTTATAATAATAATAAAAAATGCTGTTCATTAAACTTTAAAAAGCATAAGCTTTTGGTTCTCAAATATCTTCTGCGAGTTTAAATCTCATTCATAAAAATGTGCTGAAAAGATTATTACTCTTATATAGACTTATCGTATATATATTGTGAGGGTAAAATATACATAAAAGTATATACGAAGGATAAAACCGTATGTATACATATATTGATATCGGATTAAATTGAATAGAAAAACAGGGTGGAGACACCATTATAATTTGACCGAGGCGACACACGATATCGGACTCCCGCGGCCTACTTTGCGACGAGCTTTCAAGCTCGTCCAGATAGTACAGAAAAGCTCTCTTGCCGCACAAAAGATCCTCCACCGCGTCCTTCCGCAATCGTGATAAAACGAGAGCCGATACATGCAAAGTCTCGTATCGGGCTCAACTCTTGAAATTACAAGCAAAAGTTTGCGAAAAAAAGTTTTTGCGTGTAAAAACACATTTTTTACACATATATTTTTGTCTCGCCTTTACGCTAATAACCCTCCTAATGGTCAAACTGACTCGATAGGATTGCTGGAAGATGAAATATAACAAAAGTATACTACACACTCACCGATCTCGTCGTTAGAATATAGCGAAATATATCGCAGGTTCACCGATCTTCGGATTGCAGCCATTACACTCGCGCCGTGTTTCTTAACCCCAGACTTCCTTGTCTGCAAATAAATGCGAAAATAACATTAATTCTCGAATAGATCGTGCAACCTCCAATATATAGTGTTCAATACAATCTTACCTACTTCCTGTGAAGTGATATTCGTTGCCAGGCTTCGTCGAAACACGAAAAAGATTAATTAAATGCGCTCGGACTAACGAGACACTGCCGCGCGTGAAGCGAGTCTTGCTCGATTTTGGCGGAAGCAGGAATTGCTCGATTATGGCGGGAAATATAACCGCGTGAGAGAGAGGATCAATGCTATATCAAATTGAATGATATTATATCAATTGAAATAAAAGCGAGCGCAGTTTTTTCGCAGGACGTAGTATAAAACTGCTTGAGAAATACTTTCTGTAATGTTTATAAATTACTAAAGTGCTAAAAATGATTAATAAAGGACCAATTTCGATTAGATGCACCGCGCGGTTAAAATTAGCAGGGTGGCCAACGTATAGATATAAAAGTATTCGTGACATGAATATTTGCTTTTGGCAATCCTGATGTTAATCGACTTAATGAAATTGGCTCCAAATTTAAATTCTTTTTCTAACCGCGAATATGAAATAGCAACTGCCGTTAATAACCATTGCGATAAAACCGACCATTGATAAAGAAGTGCGTTGCCGCGTAATTAGTAATTAAAATAAATTGCAATTATAAAATATATATACATATTGGCACGCATGCAGATTAAATAATTAATAAACGCGTGTAATTATTTTCAAACTTTTACACACTGAATAGCCTCGCACGTTTACATCAATCTCGATTCATCGAATGCGACTCTCGATTCATCGAGCGCGACTCTCGATATGCGATTATCGAACGACAGAGGAGCCGGCTCGCGCGCGCGAGACGGCGCCAAGGGAAATTAAAAATCTATACGTAACGCGCCGGCTGTGGGTGAATGACGTCACACCCCCGAGACAACATCCCCCTGAGAGGATGGCGGCTCATCCCCGTCCGAGCGGACGGACAGCGCACGGGAATATCCCGGAACGTCGTCATACGTCGTAGAAGAGGACGGCTAGGAGGAGCGGCGGAGTATAGATCGCCGTGAGCGAGACGGTGCTCTGCGTCCGGGAGAGCGACAGATCCCGAGGCCGTGGTGGTAAACGAAGACGGTGACAACCAGGGTGCAACAAGCGTCCGCGGACGTCACGCCGGGCAAACATGAGTGAGCTAAACCTGCGGCTGGTTTACGCGAGGCTCGACTTGTGCGTCGCGAATCGCACAGCTGTGCTCGCCGGAACGGGTGAGTGAGAAGTCTCTTTTTAGAAGGTTACATATAGTGTAGGGGATGTCGAGTGAGGGTGGACGAGGGCTGTGAATTTGTTGAGCTCGATTTTCTACAGTCTATTCGGAGTACAAGTTTCGGATATGACAGATGGATGACGAGAAACATCTCCGCGAAATATCCTTAGTAACGCGAATTAATTTTACTGTCGCATTTGTTTCTATATTAAATATTATAATTTCGATTAATATAATATGTAATCAGCGCTGAGTTATTTAATTAAAGCTAGCGACGTCGGAGTCAAGAAAAACATTTAATTTCTGCGTAACGTAATAAATATTGAAATAAATTAATGCGCTATATTAAATAATGATGCTATATCAAAGACGCTCTTCGAAATCCTCTTTTAAGAATTGATCTTTGTGTGGTTTTAATCGTTTATTGAACGATCGGTGGGCAAGGAATATTAAGGACGATTGACGATAGCCGGGTTGGTTTTCGAAGGCTCCAATTTTATTAATTAAATAATAATTATGGTGTCGTTCCTCTGGTCTGGTAGTCTTTCGCTCGTCCTTCTTGCAACGGGAGCGGGTTAAAATCGCTACAGCGCAAAGATCCACAAACTCGGAGGTATTCGGTGAACGCACTTTTCGCAGAATACAGAGCGAAAACTGTTTCGATGGAGTATCACTGACTTGTGATCGCTTAGACGGCTGAACGCAGACTTACTCGGAATCGACCGTCGGATCGCAGGAACCCGCCGGTTTCGGAGAAAAAAGAGGGAAATAACACGAAATCAGAGCGCGGGCAATAACAAGCCGTGTTTATGTATATAGTTTTTTTTGGTTGATCAGCTGTGTGCTCGCTCGCGCAGACAATAAGTCGAGGCGAGCGATAGTCGCAAAAACGCTTCCAAAACATACCGCCCGCCTCGAATGAACACATTCGAAATGCGCATTGTGACGAACAAGAGATGCACTTCGGTTTGCACCAACGACGATAACGTTTACAATCGATTGAGAGATCCACTCTATCGATTTGAACAGTCTTATCGTGATTACGAGACCAGTGACAAAGGTATACATAAGAATATAGTTGATTAAATTTTAAAACAAATTAAACAAACGCAAACAAACAAAACGAGATATATATATGAGCAAGTGCTCGCTTTACTTTTTATCTCCGCCCGCCGAGCCGGATATCATTGACATCTCTTGATTGATGTCGACGGGAAGATAACAAATTTTGGTGATAGGGCGCTTATATTCTGCGCGGCTCGTTCGGACGGTGACGACTCTCGTCAAGCCGTCGGCTCCGGGATGGCACGCAACAATTCGGCCGAGCTCCCATTGACTCGGGGGAGCTAGCGGATTTCGTAGAAGAACTAACTGACCGACGCGCGCTAATTTTTGTACAATTCGCCATTTTGGGCGTTGTTGGAGGGTGAGCAAGTAATCGTTGCGCCAAGATCTCCAAAAACCTTCGGTGATGCGCTGCGTCATCTGCCAGCGTGACAATCGATTTTCATGCAGGTCGAGAACGCTGGGTTCGGGAACCGCTGCTAACGGAGCGCCGATTAAAAAATGCCCAGGAGTTAAAACGCGGTAGTCTTCCAGATTCTCGGAGACGGCGGATAACGGTCGAGAATTTAAACACGCTTCGATTTTACAGAGAAGGGTGTTCATTTCTTCGTACGTGAGAGTGTGAGCACCTATGCAACGTTTGAGGTGCGTTTTGACGCTACGCACACCGGCCTCCCAGAGACCACCGAAATGTGGGGCGGCCGGGGGAAGGAAATGCCACGATGTTTTTTCGCAAGCGGTCGCCGCAATAAAATTTGGATCGCGGAGGGCGCGACGATGTGCATCGGCTAATTCGCGATCGGCTCCTTGGAAAGTTGTGCCATTATCGCAATACATCCCCTGGGGAAGACCTCGTCTGGACACGAACCGATGATACGCCGCGATAAAGGTGGCCGAAGTATAATCGGTCACGACTTCAAGGTGGATAGCCTTAGTAGTGAGGCATACAAACAGGGCGATGTACGCTTTGTGAGACTTATGTCCGCGCCCGGGTGTACTTCGTAACAAAATAGGACCAGCATAATCGACTCCCGTGTGTGAAAACGGTCGCGCCGCGCGATTTACGCGAACCGACGGAAGATCTCCCATGAGTTCATTTGGAATGGTCGCAGCCTCGCGGGCACATCGCACACATTTGTGAAGGACTGCGCGGGTACAAGTGCGAGCGCGAAGAATCCAGAATTCGGAACGTAAGGATGCGAGAGTGAGTTGTGAACCGCCGTGTAGCATGCGATGATGGTGATGATCGATGATGAGGGAAAGGAGAGGATGCGACCGAAGGACGATCGGGTACTTCGTCGAATCTGGCAGGCGAGCGTGACGTAGACGTCCGCGGACGCGGATGAGTCCGTCGTCGCTCAGCGAAGGATTGAGAGATGAAAGCGGACTGGATTTGGACACGGATCTCTTCGCAGCGAGACAGACTAATTCAGCGGGAAACATAGCTGCCTGTATACAGCGGAGCCAGTACGCTTTGGCTGCGGCGATTTCGTCGACGCGCGAACTGCGTTCGAGTGATTGATTTTGCCGTCGCGCGAGATTCCCGAATCGAATTAGATACGAGGTCACGCGAAGCAATTTCGGCCATGATGAGAAGCGAAAAGCGAGATCCCATAATTCCGGAGGCGCCGGAGAATCCGTGACGTGTACGTTTCGTTTCTCCAAAAGATCGGTGGATGTGATCTCATCTTGTATGAGATTGCCGTTCGGCCAAGAGGTTGGAGGCAAAGACAGCCACGGGGGTCCGTGCCACCATAACGGATGTGGAGCTAGTTCCTCCGGAGCAAGACCACGGGACGCGGCATCGGCGGCGTTGTCGTAAGTCGGAACATGGCGCCACGGTATGTCCGGTAAGGTCGTTTGAATGGCCGCGACGCGATTTGCTACGAACGTTCGCCAGCAAGACGGCGATTTACTTAGCCAGGCTAGCGTTATGGTGGAATCCGTCCAACAATGTATTTCGATGTTCGGCAGTTGAAGCGTCGTTCGAACGAACTGCACGAGGCGCGAAAGAAGATGTGCAGCGGCTAACTCGAGACGCGGAACGCTTAATGTTTTGAGAGGGGCGACCTTGGACTTCGCGGCGAGCAAGAAAACGTCGACCGATCCGTCGATGTTAATGTTACGGAGGTAGACTACCGCCGCATAGGCTTTCGTAGAGGCGTCTGAGAAACCGTGTAACTCCGTTTTCAAGGTATGAGAGCCGGATCGCGTCCAGCGCGCGATTTCGAGTTGATGAAGGCACGATAAGTGCGAATAATAGCGTTCCCAGTCGGTTGCGTAATCGCCGGGAATGTCGTCGTCCCAATCGCATTTTAATTGCCACAATGTTTGCAGAAATATTTTTGCGGTAATCACGACGGGGGTGATCCAACCGAGCGGATCAAATAGTTTGGCGATGGTCGATAAGATCTCGCGTTTCGTTTTCGAAATATGTGTCGGGAGAGAAACTTTAACCCGAAAGACATCGCGACACGGGTCCCACGTGAGACCTAGCACGCTCAATCGCTCATCATCATATAGCTCCTTTGAGCAGGCAAGACCGTGATCGGACGGATCAATATCCGATAGAAGATCTGCGCAATTGCTTGCCCATTTTCTCAAGCGAAAACCGCCCTTTTCTAATAAAGCGACAAGTTGGTCGCGAGTCTGGCGCGCGAGAATTTTATCGTCGGCGCCGAACACGCTGTCGTCGACGTAAAGTTGCGAAAGGAGAACCGGAACCGCGAGCGGAAATGAGGCGCCTTCATCTTGCGCTAACTGTCGCAAAACACGGAGAGCGAGGTAAGGAGCGGAAGCGGTGCCGTAGGTAACTGTGAGTAGTTGATACTCCTCGACTGGTTGTTCCGGAGACTCTCGCCACAGAATCCTCTGGTAGTCAACATCGCGTTGGTCAACTAGAATTTGCCGATACATCTTTGCGATGTCGGCAGTGTAGACATAGCGATGTTGACGCCATCGCATTAGCACCGTGGCGAGATCGAGCTGGAGCTTAGGCCCGACCATCAAGTGATCGTTCAAGGATGTGCCGTCCGAGGTTCGACACGACGCGTTGAAAACGACGCGTAAGCGCGTCGTGGCACTGCTGTCTCGTACGACAGCATGATGCGGGATATAATAGCGGTGGAGTGCATTCCCACGGCGATTATCCGCTGGCGCGATGGTCATATGACCGAGTTGACGATACTCGGTAAGGAATTCGCGATAGGCGGAAGCCGTTTCCGGCTGACGAAGGAAACGCCGTTCGAGGCGTTGAAGGCTGGCGAAGGCGACGGCGCGCGATTCGCCTAACGAGACTGCGGTGTGACCTTTAAAGGGTAACCGAACGACGTAACGCCCTTGAGGCGTGCGGTAGTGAGTGGACGAAAAATGTTCCTCACATTCGAGATCTTCGGGATTTGGAAAAGATGAGAGGGGAATATCCTCAATTTCCCAAAATTTACGGAGAATGGAGTCGAGAGATTCAAGGACGGTTCCATGATGCACCTGCACAGATGCGCGTGGATCAGTGGAGATGGGAGTGACGGGTCCGGAGAGGATCCAGCCAAGAGTGGTTTTTTGAGCCGTAGGCTCGTTAACGGATCCTTTTCGAATACCGTCGAGGAGGATCAGGCCATACAGGTCGGCGCCGATAATGACGTCGATCGGATCGCGACTCATGAGATCTCCGTCGGCTAAACGCAATCCAGATATATGCGACCAGCGACACGCGGAATTTGTACGATTTGGCGTATATTTTGTTAAGCAGGGGAGAACAAGAGCGGTCGTCGAGTACGCAGGTTCATCGCCGAACGCAGGAGTTACGATGACGGTAACTGCGTGATGCGATACGGATTGTTTATCGCCGATGCCGGCAATCCGAACGGCTTGCTTGACGCGCGGTAACCGTAGGCATTGGGCGATTGATTCGGTGATAAGCGTAACTGCGGAACCTTGATCAATCAATGCGCGAACAGTAACTACTCGTCCTTGTGGCGAATGCACGCGAACGCGGGCAGTTGCGAGGAGAATCGCGGCCTGCGGTGACACCATGTTTGTGGAGAGATGCGTTGTGACGTCGCTATTACTCGAGTCGCTCGACGTCGTCGCGACCGCGGATTCGATGGTATCTCCTTGATTGGCGGATGTGTCAAAATGCAAGAGCGAGTGGTGCTTTTTCTGACACTGTTTGCATGTGCGCGGGCTCGTGCATTCCTTCACAACGTGCTTCGCGCTGAAGCAATTGATACACCGTCGGTTGAGACGGATTAACTCGAATCGTTCGGACGGTGTTTTGCTAGCGAAGGTCGAGCACTGGTATAATAAATGTTTGGCTTTACAGACAGGGCACGTGACGTTCGCGGGAACGCCGGAATTGGAGGCGAGTACGTGGCGTTTCGCCGATTTATTCGACTCGGATGCTTTCTCTTTCGGATTCGCGGGAGCGATCGCGTCGAATGCGCGAATTCGAGTATCGATAAATTGCGTAAGATCTTTAAAGCGAGGATACTCGCTGGTTTCGCCAAGCTTTATCTCCCACGCCTCCCGAGTTGATTTATCGAGTTTCTGCGAAACGAGGAAGACCAATAGATCATCCCAGTGCTCGACCGGACGCCCGAGATTCTTTAACGCATGTATCGCGGCGTTGGTCTGATCACAAAGGTACCGAAGGTCTTTGGAGTTTTTGCTCGGAACCGCGGGTAAATCAACTAATGTTTGCAAATGCCCGGTAATCAAGCGTCGCTTATTTTCGTAACGTGAAATTAAGAGGTTCCACGCGACAACGTAATTCGCGTCTGTAATCGCGAGGTGGCTCAACGCCTTACTAGCTTCACCCTTTACACACGAACAAAGATAATGCAAACGATCGACATTTGACAGCGAGGTATCGTTAGCGATTAACGAGGTGAATCGGTCGCGGAAATTTTCCCATTTGTCAAAGCCTCCCTCGAACGTCGGTAAGTGTAGCTTGGGCAAATGTGACGACCGGCGAGAGAATTCGGAAGGGTTGCTTACGTCCAAGGTTGTTGACTGATGCCGCGGTCCTGGTTCGAAGGCCTCGAGAATTTCTGCCATGTAGTCGGATGTTTCGTTGAAGACGTCCTCGCAGGCGAAAAACTGCTGCTCCTTGAAGTAAGGCAGCTGCTGCTTCTGAGTATCACTGGCCAGACGAGTGATTTTCGAATGGAGTTCCTGGCACTTCGAAAAGATGACCTTCAGGTTGGCGAGGCGCTCCTTGGTAACGGCACGAGTCATCCGTGCTTGGCCAAGTTTCTTGAAATTTGGCAGAACTCGTGCGACAGAGTACATCAGCTGTGTCTGATCGCTGATTATCTCCTCCACGTTCGACATGATGCCGGCAGATCGTCAATGCCTGGTTTCGTCTTGCCACCGATCCGGCTCGAAGGACCAAAATTATGTGTGGTTTTAATCGTTTATTGAACGATCGGTGGGCAAGGAATATTAAGGACGATTGACGATAGCCGGGTTGGTTTTCGAAGGCTCCAATTTTATTAATTAAATAATAATTATGGTGTCGTTCCTCTGGTCTGGTAGTCTTTCGCTCGTCCTTCTTGCAACGGGAGCGGGTTAAAATCGCTACAGCGCAAAGATCCACAAACTCGGAGGTATTCGGTGAACGCACTTTTCGCAGAATACAGAGCGAAAACTGTTTCGATGGAGTATCACTGACTTGTGATCGCTTAGACGGCTGAACGCAGACTTACTCGGAATCGACCGTCGGATCGCAGGAACCCGCCGGTTTCGGAGAAAAAAGAGGGAAATAACACGAAATCAGAGCGCGGGCAATAACAAGCCGTGTTTATGTATATAGTTTTTTTTGGTTGATCAGCTGTGTGCTCGCTCGCGCAGACAATAAGTCGAGGCGAGCGATAGTCGCAAAAACGCTTCCAAAACAATCTTGATATGTCGCGTTTGACAGTTAGAGCATAGTTCGAGGAATATATGTCACACACCTAACTTTCATCTTTGCGACGCAATAACTTTGACACGTACGTGCATATATATACATGACATGATATAGGTTTTCTACGAGACCCGATGAGAATAAATATAGTAAAAGATAAATGCATCTCTCACTGTTTCATATACTTAAAAATCGTAAAAAATGTTTCGTTAAACTTTGCAATGTTTACAATTACTTTTTACATAAAAATTGCATTGCTTTTTCTACAAACTCAAATAAATTTTGTAAACGTATAATTCGCGCAAAATTTTTTCTACTTTATTATTCCTGATTTATAAATTGCACAGAGTTGTTTATGTCACGCGTCGCGTATTTCATGTTTTTTATTTTTCTATCGAGCTTTAAATTTTAAACTTTTCTCATATCGATAAGAAGTTACGTAGGCAAATATAACAGCGCACATTATTATAGCGTAATAATACGTGCTATTTTTCAAAACTTTTTTAAATACTACCTTCGGACGTGCGAAGGATGAAAATGTTCTGGGAAACGAATATCGCGTGATAAAGAGTTTCGTGCTCTGCGAAGTACTTTACCCATTCTATCTCCATATTCCATATTAATTAACTTATTAATATCGTTTGAATATATTCGACTTGTTGAAGAAGAAAAGTTTTCGCTTACACTATTTTCAAATATACAATAATGAAGTTTGTGCTTGTCATATAATAAACGCTTATAATTTGATTTGTCAGCGTTGAAGATCGAGCTCAACGAAATTATATCGTTATTGATGTCAGAACAATTCATTTTTCAATATTTTATTATAATTATACGTAGCATTGTAACTTTATATATCTGCTAAGAGCGCTTCTTGCATGTGATTTTAATCAAGCTTTAGCAACGGTGTGTTAGCCATGTCCTTTTTTAATTATCTAAAAGTAAAGGAGTAGTTTTTATATATGGTGTCTAACGCAAATTAAACCATCTTAAGCACTTCTTTACAGAGAGCAAATTTGAAAAGTGCATGCATATATTAATTGAATAAGAAAAATCTTGCCAAAATATTTCAGAATAAAATATATAGATTAAAGTATAATTAAATATTTTAGCTTGAAATTTAAATTAAATTTTTATAAAAATTTTTTACATATATTTAGAGAAATATTTTCTCTTAAAATAAAAAGATCGAAATACGATATCACTTAAAAATCGATCTTGCTATTCGTCTATCTTTATGTTACTCTGTCTTACTTTTTTATTACATGATTATTTCACTATTATAATTTTAAAATTGACAAAATAGTATTCAAAATAAGTATTCGTAATAATATTCGAATGTAAAAAGCACTCTTAAAGGGGCGGGTGTCAATTGCGAAATTATATGAAAAAATTCTATATAATCCTATCTTTGTGTCAACATTTTCTTAATATATTTGAATAATTTTCTTTTACGTTTACTCTCATATATTTAGTTATATTTTGATAGGTGCTTTATATGCTGAATCAATTCGTTCTGAATTTTAATTATAGTTTGAAAATCAACTTTTTAATGACTCTAATATAACTTGATAAAATTATAATTTCTTTAAACTGAACGATTAAATCGTAATTTACTTTTGAATAGATTAAAAATGATAACAATTGGATCAATATTTTCTAAAAAAAAAAAAGATATGTAAAGATTAAAAAATATAATTTTATATAAGTGTTTTAAGAGTTTTGGTATCCTTATATATTTAACATTTATTTGAAGCACTTAGACATATTCAGAAGCAATCTTATACAGCTTATCATTTAGAAAAAACTATCTACGTTTCTCTTTAAAAACAATAAAAAGTATATTTTGATACTTAAATTTTTGTAAGTTTACCCGCCCCCTAAAACGATGCACGCTTCAGTATCCACGAGAGATTTACAATCACCTTAAACGCACAATGCGCACGCATCCTCTGATATCGTTCGCATTTCTTGTGTCGCTCATTAATCGCTCATTTATCGTTACCAAGATGTACGTCGGAAAGCAAAGGACATGGCACACCTGTAGATACGAAATGCCGGACTAGCGTACGCGCGAGAGAGCGAGTGGCCGACCAGAGTAGTGGCAGCAAGAAGGCAGAGCAGAGTAGTGAAGAGAGGGTAGAGAGCAAGTACGTAGAGAAAGAGAAAGAGATCCTGTCGCTCGAAAAAAAATTAATTTGCGTGGCGCAAAAATCTCGCGGAAGGAGAGAGAATGAGTCACGCTCAACAGCATGTGCTTGCGAGCGCGATAGTTCTCGCGCTATTAGTGGTATTCGGCATCCACGTCTTCCTGTTCCCCATGTATGACACGTCGTCCCCGCCGGCGCGCCACATGAAGATCTCCGTGTACGAGCAGACGCTCTGTCGCACGACCCTGAAGACATCCAACGTCCGGGCACCGGCACCCGACTGGCGCAACAATCCCTGTCCCATTAACGGCATAGTCTCGGCGGTGCAGGGCGGTAGACTCGGCAATCAGATCTGGGAGTATGCGTCCGTGTGGGCGACCGCTCGTAGAACCGGCCTGGAGCCGTTCATGCCGCGCTGCATCCTCAAGACCCTGGAGGAGCACTTCGAGAACCTCAGCATCCCGCCGCTCAGCTACATCGGCAGGTGTACCTTGGACGTCGGACAAGTGGTCAACTCGCTCAGTCAATGGAATAGCACGGACCAGAACATCATTATACCCAGGTCAGTCTTGTTAGACTTTGAGTTTCATCTGAAATCAGATTAAATTAGTAATTAATTATCGCTGATATACATATATATTATAGGCACATGAGAAATGTAACTAGAATAAAATAACTTATAACACTCTTTCGACAGGCATGCGGCTTATTGGTCCTTGATATTGGTCTGGCTGGACGACGTACGACGGGAATTCACGTTCAAGCCGAGTCTGAGAATTTACGCGGAGAAAGTATTGAGACGTGTATCGGAAAAGTTCAATCTATCCTCGCCAACCTACGTCAGTGTACACGTGCGTCGAACCGATTACGTGGATTACCTTTGGCACAAGCTGAAGACGCGGCCGGCACCGGTAAGTTACTACCTGTCGGCGATGGATTACTTCGCCAGCAAGTACAGCAATGTTGTCTTCGTAGTGACGAGCGATAATATTGCCTGGTGCAAGTATAACTTGCACAGCAACCGTCATAGAATCAGTTTCGTATCGGATAATGATGGTAAGGGCCCGGGTAAGGATCTAGCAGTCTTATCCACGTGCAATCACAGCATAATAGATTACGGCACTTACGGCTCGTTCGGGGCTATTTTGGCCGCCGGCGAAACTGTAGTTTACAATGTAACAACATACTTTTCTACGTTGATCGCCGACGTTCTACCAAAGTGGAGGATAATGAGTTGAACGAGAATCAAAGCTCTTGAGTATAAAACAGAACATATTTACGTTGTATCATGTATACACATTTTTTACATAATTTACGTAATTACATAATTTTTTTCAAAAAAATCGTCATTTACATTATTCTTGGAAATTTTTAATTAATTTTCATGCATTAAAAAAGTTTCTGAGAAGCTATTATTTCTTTTTAATATTAAAATTTGCAATTTAATATTTAATTACTTTATAAATTTTTATCAGATCGGAAATATGTATATTTGCTCTATGCAAAGGATCGTCGTATATTATTTACTTCTGTTATCTATTCAAATATGGTAATTAATGTAAACTACATGAAAGTGTGTATATCTTGCCTTTTTGCCACCTCTAGATTATATATCTATATTCATCTTTTTTATTTATTATACAAATGCATAAACATTTTGACAGTAGTAAAATTCAATGAAAGTGTGTGTTGCTACATCACATTAAATTTTATATGTATATGTAAATGCATCAAAATGCGCTTAGTATTACGCGCATACATATATTATGCTCTTATTTAAATTTAGTGTGCGCACATAAACTAGAAATCGATGCACTTGTAAATGTAGCGAGCGAGAAAACCTTTCAAGGAACTCGCGAGGAAAAGGTTTACAATGGAACAATGGACCACTAATATCTAAAATTAAAACAGATGCTTATTTTTTCTACGATTCCGATACAAACTCGACACGGCCGTAAAAAATTAATGAAAAGAAAACAAAGAAAGCGTAAAGAGATATCGGCTATTTCTTTCGAATAAAGTGATGATCAAAAGAGCCTAATATATTCAGAAAAGAAACACGCGTACGAATAAATTCTAAATTCTTGTGCAGAGTGCTCAGAATTGTATCTGGTTAGTGATCCCTTAACTTTGGCGTGAGATCTTTCCCGAAAACTGGATTTTCTGATATTATTTCGTAGTTTATATCGTTTTCTATAACATATAGCCTAGTGTCGTGGAGTTTCAGATTGATTGCGTTTACACGTTTCAATGTATATTTCATATCGCGTAGCGAACGTGTAATATAAATACTTCACGAAACCGATATATTGACAACCATCTAAGTCTTATAATGTACAATGATTTCAACTGTGATTCTATTTCTTATTGTGCCAAAATTCTTAATATACACATATAAACATACATATATATACATATATATAAATATATATATGTATGTATACACACACATCTATATATGTATTATAAAATTATATCTATACAAGGCGTTGTATAATATTTACAAATCTGTGAGCAAATGATAAATTATTTCTTCACTTAACCGTTAAGTATTATATATATACAAAGAGAAAAGTTTACAGACTATTATTATTACTGTGCGAGAAATTGCGGACGGGGAAAAATATTTTACATATAAAGCCAGTGTTTGAAATTTATTATAGCCATGTGACCTGATGTATCTCTGACTTATAGTGTTTTACAGAGCTAGACTCTAGTCAGTGTGTCTAATATCTATATGTTAATATCTATATATGGATGTATCTTCAATGTATTTGTTGCCTGCCAGTTGTTAGATATCTGACAAAATGTTGGAGCGCAAAAAGAAAGTTGCGCTACTAGTAATAGAATTATAACAAATAAAAAATAATTAAATGAGCCGAATAAGATATCAGATTTTTCATTTAGCCAACGCTAATTGCGTGACAAGAGATGCGATTACAGACAAAAAGATAAATATGTTATAAATAATTACTAAACAACTTCCAGGCATCGATACGATCTACTTTGTACATTCTCTGTGATAATTTTATGTAATTTTTGGAAACGTAACACGCGTAAACTGAAATGTATTCATTTTACAGAATAAAAATACTCTGTGTCAAAATTATATGTATTAATTATATTAAAAGTTATGTTTTTTTCAATAAGAGAGATATTGCTACATACAACAAATGCGCATATTATCGATCACTCTGTATAGTATCAAACTCTCTTATCTAAAATGCTGTATCATAGCCCTTTCAATAAAATATATAAAAATAGTAATAAGATACGATGCGATTTTCGCAGATAAAGGCATATAAAATTACCACAAAAATCGATTAAATATTAATAATTATAAAATTATAATTACTGATTTGTAGTGACAAAACCAGCTGAACATAAACCCAATTTCGCACCGGTTATCCTCATTCTCAGAGGCTGAACTCCAAGTTCAGCTTTGGGAATTCCATATTCTTGTAATTTACTCTCATAAGTCGCTAATAAGTCGTCGTGTGCTTTGCAAACTTTAGCCAATTCATATTGCAGATCTTGTATCGCAGTATTTTTTCTATTAAGCATATCCTATGGAAAGATAAAATAACATGATACAATCGTAGAGTGATTCAAATAGATCATAACGCGAGATAATGCATACCTCTAATTTTTTATTCACTTTGACCACCGCAGCAGGATCTAATTGAGCTGTGGCCAGCACTTCACTAATCTGTGCTTCTCGTTGTTCCAGTAACTCCGATAATTTTTCCAATTTTTTCTCCAAGAGGACATTTTTCAAACCCGTTTTCTGTTGCAATTCGAAAATAGCCGAGACAAATCTAGAATGTAACTCATCTCTCTCAGATTGACACTAAAACAAAAAAAAATATTAAAAAGGTCAGGATCAGGTTCACATATCGAAGTATTCTTTATTATATTAAAATGTTTTACTTTTTCAAAACGAAGTTCAAGCACTTCATTTTCCCATTTAAAATTTTCCAAATCCTTTGCCACTGTGGCCAATTTCCGTTTCGTATTCTAGAAAATCATTAACTCAATTAAATATTTCTGTTTATAATATTGTTATAGAATAGAGATATACTAACAGCTAAATTTTGTTTATCCTTCTCATAATTTGCAAGTTGACGATTAAACTCGGTAGTTGTTTCTTGCAAAGATTTCAACTCAGCCGAATATTTTTTATTCTCCGCTGTCAATTCTCGCACTTGCTTTTTCATACGTTCCTCGTTGTTTCTCATCGATTCCATTTGTTCCTGTTAAAACATTTGCCGCGTTAATTTGAAAGCTTTTCAGATCATTTACTTTTTATAATTGCAAAATACAATAGGTAGCGAATCTTACCTTCATACTCTTAATTAACGATAAATTATTGAGAGTGATATCATTGTAATAATTTTTCATCTCGGCAAACGCATTCTCGTGATTTTTTATCAAATTCGCAATTTGCGCATTCTTTCTTTCCTCCACTTCTGTAATTTCCATGCGATGCTTCAACGTTAAAGACTCGTATTGACTGGTTAATTTCTGTTCGTATTTTGCTCCAATTCTACCGCTTCAGACTCGAATTTCTTCATCATGTTATTCATTTCTTCCGAATTGTGCTGCATTTTATATATATATATATATATATATATATATATATATATAAACAAATTTTTATTAAAATTTAATATATAAATTTTTGGCAAATTCTATTACACGTGCATCTTACCAATTTTAACGCGCGTATCTCGTTCATATACGCCAATTCCTGTTCCTTCTGCATTTTCTTAAAATCAGTTTTATCTTTAATAAGTTCGTTCTCTTGTGCAACGTGATCATCTTGCGCCAATTTAAGAGCAACCAGATGCTCGGCCTTGTTCTCGGATAAATTAGTCTGATGCTCATACATCAAATGCTTCACTTTCTGCTTGTATAACTTGAGTTCGGCCTCGTGTTTCTCTGCTAATTCCTCTTTCTCGCGTTCTTTATTTCTACATGCAAATTATGCAAATATATTTATATTATATCAGAAATATTATTAAAGAGTGATAAAATTTAAAGTACCTGACTGTAGCGCGTGCTTCATCCAACTGATGTCTTGTTATTTCCCAAAAAGTTCGCAATTTATCTCTCTCTAATTGAAAAAATTTCTCTCCTCCCGCTCACGTTCCATTTCTTCTAATATTTTATGAGCATATATTTCCAATTGTTCCCTATTCATTTTCGTTGTATCCACTCCATCGACGTTATCCGTCGTTTTCCCTTTTGCTTTCTTAGGAGGCTTTTTGTCATGTAATTTAAAAATACATTAAATTATAAGAAAGTAGGAAAAGAAGGAAATTTCATAAAAAATTATATATCTGATACATACATGTAAAAGTATATAAAAATATAATAAAAAATGAAAATATACGATAATACTGATAAAAACAGCCAAATTTTTGTCAGATTAATATTTAATTAAATCAAACTTACCATTTTTACCGATATATATAAAACCGCGTAGAGAGATTATTTATATATCTTTTCAAAGATTATAGCAATATGTAACACGAACAATAATGATAATAATAATACTGCTGTCAAGTCTATAGTCTCATGTCAGCTGACCTAGGTCTGCACAACATGGTAAGTGTGACATTTTAGAATGGAATTGTTTTGTAAGATCGTTACTAAGCAACCATGTCTATACATTGATATAAATATGAATTTTATACAGATGCATCATGTATAGATGCAGATTTTATATTATTTTCGATGAGATAATAATTTTTAAGTAGAAAATGAAAATGTATACATATGATTATTGAAATTTGTATGTTTACAATGTATGCAAATATATATTGCATTACATGTTTATGTATAAAAACTTTTTATACTTAGGATATAATGTATACATAATGTATATATTTTACATTGTTTTATATTTACATGTATAAATAACATTTTATATTTAGCAGAAATTAATGTCTATTTGGTGTTTTGCAATACATTTCATCAGGAACAAGCTTTACTAGTTCTACATAAAAGATGTGATGTAAAATATAATGTTAATAATTAATGAATAAATTACAAATAAGACAAATTTTTAGTAATAATCATATTTTAAATAAATAAAACAGAAAAATTAAATATATTAAGATTATAATTTTTTAATGATTTTCTTTTATTCACATTATTCTATTACTTATTATAGCGGGGAGCACACACTTTTGCATAAGCGCATAAGCATATACATAAGAAATTTGATTGGTTGAATTTCTTATGCATACGTTATAGACAATCGAGATTCTTATGCTTACGCTTATGCGCCTATGCAAAAGTGTGCTCCCCGCTTACTTCTTAAAAACAAAATTTGACACTCTGGAGCATATAATTTCGTAATATCTGAAGGAAATATACATATTCTGAATTACAAATCACAATATTTTGCTGTAACAATGTAAACGATGTAAAAAATTCTTATTTTTCTGTTTATTGCTAATCACGCGTAAAGGCAAATAGTATTTAATTAAAAATATTTAATTAAAAATATTTAATTAAAAATTTTAGTTATTTAATCGTAGTAATAAGTCAAGGCTCTTATTAATTTTTAGTTATTTAGTATTAAATTAAAAGCGTATCAAGAAATCTATTCTGTAGAGATCCGTAACGCATTAACAATAAAATTATAAATACATATCAACAATTAAATACATAAATATTTTAGCATCATAGCTTCATTATACTTATGAAAATGTATGTGCACGCAAATGTAATAACGATTGCCATTATATACATAAAAAATCTGTGCATTTGTAGAAAAATTTCACAATATAAATGATGAGGTAGAACTAGTCTATGTACGGCATGTAACGAACATCGGGAGAAAAGGCAAGCCTTAATTCCCTTTGGATTTGGTCCATTATCGATCCTGTCTGCCGAGTCGTGCTAGATTTATGTTCATAATCGAACAATTATATCGAAATAGTTATCCTCTAACAAAAAAAAAAAGAAAAATATTCTTTAACACAATTCTCCTTACAGAACAAATTGTGATAAAAATTATATATATGTACAATTATATATATGACAAAATGTACAAATAATTATTTTTGAAATATAGAGAGATCCTTTCATCTCATAATAATAAACGATTGCTTCACATATGCATATACTCATACGAGCAATTAAATAAGAAATATAATAAAAATAAATAGTTATGTTGAACAATCTTGCTCTCTCGAAAGATTCTGCTAAGTTGGTCGTATGGAATGGATGTATATCATGTAACAGTTGCTCAACATTCTTCATTGTGTTTAGCTCGATTCACCATTAAATTGTAATAGACATCCCACAGCACCGAAGTAACCCTGAAATCACAAAAGATACATTTGTGATATCAAAACATCAATTGTTAAATTTTTAAGTTGTTGTATCTTTACTTCATGTTCTAAAAACAGGGCTTTTAAAGTTCCTTTAGACCAATAATCCATAGCATAGGCCAATAATTTCATCGATATGGGATTTACCCTGAGAAAATTCCCAACAAATACAACCTAAAACCAAAAATTATTGCAAAATAAGAAAATTGTCAATATACGAAATCATATGTAATGTAATGTATACATTATATATTATATACATTATATATTATATACATACATTATATAATATACGAAATCATATGTAATGTAATGTATACATTATATATTATATACATATATATATACACACACGCACACGCACACGCACACGCGCACGCGCACGCGCACACACACACACACACACACGCACACGCACACGCACACGCACACGCACACGCACACACACACACACACACACACACACACACACACACACACACACATATATACAATATAATTACCCTCTCATTTTTTCATTAACAGCGCACATACGCGCAATGGAACCGATGTTATTTGTGATAGTAACAAGTGTTGCACGCGCTAGATCTTCTTTTGTGACGGTATTTCGGCGGTCTTTGGAATTCATTTGTCCGAAACTAAAAAAGAACAAAAAATAGGATTATGATGAAAATAAAAGAATTACATAACTCAAAGCAGTAATTAATAATTGCGATAAATTACCTGCTCGCAACTAGATCTCCAGGAAGCCCAAAAGGACCATAATCGCCGCCGTATATATCTTTAACCAATTTATCTACCCTTGTGTTATCACCGCCCGTTGCTAATTCTATTGCTTCTTCGAAGGTGTTACAACCAGTAAGCAAACAACATAATCCCAAAAATGTTCCGCCTCCTAAACTATATAAGAAGTTATATGTTATATTGATATTACTTAACAACGAATCTTTCCCGAATATACAATGTATGTGCATATACATATAATACGTTCAATATTTTATATATATATATATATTCTACAATATATATTTACCTTGTTCCAGATATTCTTTTATAATTTTCTGGTCCATAGACAGCTAGTATACTTACTCCAGAGCCTATGTTAACAAGCTGCACAAGAAAATATTTTCAAAAATTATTCTTGTCAAGAAGAATATATGCAAGAAAATAATTTCATCCATCCTTACCAAGAAAGGATATGGTTCAGAAAAGTCATATGGTACTTTCTGACATTTGCTATCATCAGTGGGATTCGACCAATAATAGCATTCATGCGGATTCGTGGTTTCTATGTAAAGCATTCCACGTATTAAACTATCTAATTCATCGAATTTTGCCAAATTCATGTTTACTTCCTATCAAAAATATTTCGATATTATGTGTGTAACTTAATTCTTAATAATAACTAAATAATATCAAGATATGCGATATTTCGCACCTTTTTAAAATTATCTTCGAATTTAAAGGCACCACCACCCGTGGCGCAAACAGTAGTCACAAGATTCGCCATGCCTTTTGATTTTGCTAATGCTAAAAAATTGCCCATTTCACTCGTAGGAAATCTAATAAAATGTAACGTCCCTTGTCTGCCTCTAATACGAACATTATTCATCTGGAACAGCAGTTTAAGTAAACAATTAGGAAAACAAGTCTATACAAGTAGTAAATTGCAGCAATATAAATCTAATATTAACTCTATATTATATCTAGTATTAACTAACTTGTAAATGAGTATCTCGATGACCAGTTTTTCCATACGCTGAATTTTTAGTAAGATATCGACGAATATTTTTTAACGTCTCAACTTCTGCATCTGCCTCGTCTCTAGTTATATCCTTTGGCTCAAAGTACACTAATTTACACAAAGTTCCGCCTATATCCATTCCAAACCAAGGCATCGCTATAACAACAATATGTGATTAATATTTCATTTATTGTATTTGTGCATGAATATAATTAAAAATGTGTCAAAATATGGACAGTTTTAGAAAGGCAATAATTATTAACAATTTAAGAAGCGCAATTTTACAATAACTATGAGAGATTAAATTTCTGGAAATATGATTATTAATAAGCTTCTCATGCAGAAAAATAGTTTCAATGAAATGCAAAAGTATGCACACAATAAAAACTTGTCTATTGCAAATATTATATTTACTTGGGGATACTCAAACAAAATGAGTATAACTGTGAGTTTTCATCGCAGGCATTATCTACTTTGTTATTTAGCTTAAATATGTGATAAATATCTTACTAATATTATAAACTATGCTTATGTATATATCTCTAAGTTAAGAAAATATTAAAATTCTCAAACAATTGACATAATAATCACAAGCACAAAATAAGTAGATATCAGTTATGAACAATATATCAGCCAATATAAATAATATATAATAAAAAGTAAAAATTAGCAATCTAAGCACACATACAGTCCACTGACTCACAAGGAGATGAATGATTCGTCGCTTTTTCATCCATAATCTTGCCGGTAGAATATCCATTAGACTCCATGTTCTTTGGAGTTAAATTATTTTTATGGCTTTGCGGACTCATTACTTGCGGGCTCATTCAGAGTTGAATAGTTTCTCCTGAATTACTTTCTTATAGTAAAGAACCTTTTTGCTACAAAAAAAATGCATGTTTAGATTTAAAAAATTACTAAAATTTACTAAAATTATAATATACATATATCAAATAATATCTCATATTGAACATTTAAAGTGTTATACACAAATAGAATTTTCGTCTATTTTTCTTAACATATATATAAATATTTTTCAAACGATTTTATGGACGAAACGCTTTATTCACTTTAAAATATTTAAAGATATTCATACAGAATACTATTTTACCAATTCTGAATACAATTATCATCAAATATCAGGATCAAAGATCACCTTTCATTTATGCACACACTGTCTAAAATGTCTATATACAAATTTACATAAGCAATGTCACATACGATTGTATTATGTGCATGCTTTCAAATCTTCCGTATTGCTTTAACTTATTTGCTTTTATGTCTTATGCATGCATAAGATCAAAATAAATATAAATTTTCTGTAAAGTTGTTTCTGCATTATAATTAAAATAAGATATGTCGTTCCTTGAGATGTAAATTTGAAATTAACAATACTTATTACTATACAACTTTTCTATACCTTTCCAAGAATACTCACATTTTGATAATGTGCACAAATATGTATATATAGAAAGAAAGGCCTTACTCTCTCTAATATATATTCACCAGTTCACTATTTTTAAATGATAAGAAATGACAGAAGCACGATGCGCGTTACGTTATATAAGTGGCGAGTAATAATCATCTAGGCGATTAATTTTTTACTTATATTGACATCGTTTCTTCACTCCGAGATGATTTACATCACGATATTCCACCTATCATTCGCCAATACATCGCGAGCACGGTATCATCGCACTTATCACGAATTATCGATAAAAAATGTTCATCAGATCATACGAGACGGCATTGATGCATATGAGCGAGTCACGCTTCGTCCTCGATCGCGCGAATCGTCGTCGTCGACTAGAACGACGAACGTCAAATATCGCGTTGATCGAGGAGTCGCGTCGGTGGAAGAATGACGGTGACGTGACGTCCCACGCCAGGCCGGCGTGACACTTACTCATCGAATTTTCGGGCGAACGCCGGGAACCGCGCAAGTCAACCAGGTCAGGACCGTCTTCGACCCGAAGCTTCCCTTCCGCTCCGCTCGCACTATCTTGACTGTCTCGGCGCCGTGCGGAATCGACGATTGTAGGCGCTAACTACACCAGTGCAGTATAAATTACACATGCACAAACTGCATGTAATGGAGCGATAACTGTACAATGAACGGGACTTGCAAAGACGACGACGACAGCAATGAACGTGTGCGATGGAAAAGTTTTACTCTATCCGCTCCGTATTATGAGGAAAAATTGCGCTACGCTCATTTATTTATTCCAGCGAACTTACTCGATGATCTTTTGTCAAGGCTATGAAAAAATTAATTTTATTTAAATTGCAAAATTATATCGTGTGCAAGCGTTGAATATGCAATATGTATTTTTATCAAATAATTAACATACCGCGAATTCTCTATTGCCTTCTCCTTTTTTTCCTATGTATGTATATCTTGTTATGACGCTTGTAATATTATTTTTTGTCTATTTACCTCATAAGACAATTATTTTTGATCACCTAAAAAGACAACGTGGCCACGCACCATAACGGAACTAGTCTATGGGTGCGTTCCGTTATGCACTGCAAGTACTGACAGTACTACCAATAGCGTTCCGATATAGATAGCAGTGCACTGCGAAAGTACTATCATGAGTATATGACGTCATTAATTTTGACGTTATTTCCTGTTGCGATTACTGCAACCGGCGAGGTAAAGCACTCGCAGTAATCAAGATGGCTACCTCCATGTGTACGATGGAACTAACTTTTAAATTCCATATCTGAATATAATGATACAATATTTTTAACGTAATTTTTACATTTTATTCTAGGTATTTTAATTTGTCGTCTCATTTCATTTATTAATTCCATTTCCAAATCGCTTTCACTTGATGACTCACTCGAATCATATATATTCTCGATTAAATTATATGTAATTAATGCAATAATGGTATTATCCATTTCACCAATTTTTCACTCGATGATTATTAGCGAAAAAGGTTAGTTAAAAGTCTGCTGAAAGCGTACTGTAGTGCGTTCCGTTTTACTATTTTGCAGTAGCTTCAAAGTGCACAAAATTAAAAAGGAACGCTGTCAACAGTACACTTGCATGACGTCATAGTGCCAGTACTTGCAGTGCATAACGGAACGCACCCTACGGGTGCGTTCCGTTATGCACTGCAAGTACTGACAGTACTACCAATAGCGTTCCGATATAGATAGCAGTGCACTGCGAAAGTACTATCATGAGTATATGACGTCATTAATTTTGACGTTATTTCCTGTTGCGATTACTGCAACCGGCGAGGTAAAGCACTCGCAGTAATCAAGATGGCTACCTCCATGTGTACGATGGAACTAACTTTTAAATTCCATATCTGATTATAATGATACAATATTTTTAACGTAATTTTTACATTTTATTCTAGGTATTTTAATTTGTCGTCTCATTTCATTTATTAATTCCATTTCCAAATCGCTTTCACTTGATGACTCACTCGAATCATATATATTCTCGATTAAATTATATGTAATTAATGCAATAATGGTATTATCCATTTCACCAATTTTTCACTCGATGATTATTAGCGAAAAAGGTTAGTTAAAAGTCTGCTGAAAGCGTACTGTAGTGCGTTCCGTTTTACTATTTTGCAGTAGCTTCAAAGTGCACAAAATTAAAAAGGAACGCTGTCAACAGTATACTTGCATGACGTCATAGTGCCAGTACTTGCAGTGCATAACGGAACGCACCCTAAGAATGGCACGGCGGCGATCAGCTGATCACATTTGAGCTCTTCCCCTTTCTCCTAGAAAGAATATCCGTTCTCTTTTAGACAGTTTTCTACTCATACTTTCATTCCTACAGTTTATATATATATATATATATATATATATATATACACACATATAAAATTTAAAAGTATATATTTTACATATTTAAATATAATTAATATATTAAATATATATTATATATTATATATATATATATATATATTATATATATTTATTTATACTTATTTGTATTTATTTTCCTTACCATTAATGTGAGTTTTGCTTATATAATTATACATATAAATATTTTATTATGCGCAGAGACTCACACACACACACACACACACACACACACACACACACACACACACACACACACACACATCTCCATTTCAATCATTTATTATTTCCTTTCAAACATCAAAAACTATGGTATTCCTTCTCGTCTATCGTTTTGAATTATTTATTACATTTGTGATTCTCAGAGACAGACACGATTACCCTGAGTTCAAGTTTAGCTGTCATTTTCTTATCTTTCCGTCTTTCATTAACTATACAAAATTATTTCTTCCTAATTAAACATTTTTATTATTCATATATATTTATTCTTTCAATCGCAAACATTCAAATAGAGGAGATCATTGAGTCCTACCTATACAATTATTTTTATACGTATAATTAACTACAATGTCTGTTTTATGTGTTATCTAACGTGCGTCAATGCAAATTGATGGCACATCTAATTTTATCATTTTTATCATTGCAATACTGCGCGAAAATTCAACAAGTCATAGGTTAACCGATGACTATATATAGTCGCCTATTGTCTTTTTTTATCGATGAAAGAAAAATATTCTTATTTATCTATCCTATTGCAACAGAATACGTCATCGATTCTTTCCTCGTACAGAAATAGTTTTGAATTAAAATGATTTTCAAACGAAATCAACATATAATTCACATGACTATTTTGTCGTATAATATCTTTAATATTATATTGACTAATTATATATTAATAGCGCTGCGCTTCTTTAAATGCTACATCATAAAACCGCTATTTAAATAAAGCCACGCCTTGTTAACTTTTACTGCCTTATTAACATATTTATACTGTACAAACAGAATATATATATATATATATATATATATATATATATATATATATTACACGCACGCACACGCGCACACACGCGCGCACACACACACACACACACACACCACACACACACACATATATATATATATATATATATATATATATATATATATATATATATTCGTATATATATATAGATTTTCTCTAAATGAGAGATGGAAAAAAGAAAAAAAAACAATTATTGTAATGATATACACAAAAGTTATATAAATTAGATATAAATGTACATCTAAAGGTTGGAAGATAAATAAATTTTCAGCAATTTTTTATTTTTTTTATTCGATATAATTTTTAACATATTATTTTGAACAAGAATTATATTTATAAAACTCTCTTTATTATGTTTTTCCATATCTCACATCTGATGAAAAAATCGCAGTTCTTATAAAAAAATGCATAGGAAAAAGCAATAAAAATAAAATTTAAAGCAATAAAAATAATTGCACGTTTATCGCTGAAAAACTAGAATTCGTTAATCTAACAATTAAATTGTCAACACTATATAAAAATAATAAATTATACTTGAATTTTAACAATAAAAAAATTCATATTTTTATATATGTTTCTTCTTTGTCCATTTTCTGAGTAATTTCATTATTACCTTTCGGAAAACAATAAGATTCATTTTGTGAACTTTGTCAAAATTCTTTTCATTTTCATGACGCGTCTAGTTATTTGTGCATCCTAAAGGCTGGTTTTCAAGTCAATGTTTTTTACTATGGTACTAGAACGACATCCAATCAACGAATTTCTAACAAAAAAGGGACTACAGGCCATAGACATCTGTGGACTCTACCAAACTCTTCGTATTTTTTTTCTAAAAATTCGGCCATTCTCTATTCTCTACCCTTGGAGAATCACAGAGAGAAACTTTAGTATGTTATAATTCAATGATGTAAAAATGTAAACCCGTGATGTAAACATATCGTATCGTACATCCTCAATACGTCAATCGTCGATGCGTGTGTTATTTGGTTATAAACTATATTATAAACATACGAGATGTCTGATGGTGAGGTTTAAATAGCATGTTTTAATAACATTCTATGATTATATTTGATTATATTTACTAATTTAAAAATAATGAATAATAATTTGAGTATATATGCAATTATAAGATTTTATTATAAACATGTTTTATCTGATATAAATAAGTAAGGCTTAAAGATCTCTTGATGATTGAAAGATATATGAATGTAATATAATCTACATTACAAATTTGAATTTGCAGAAGAAGTAATACGTCGCAGATTACTTATAGATGGCGATGGGACAGGAGATGATCGTAGAATTAATATGCTGTTGAAATCATTCATAAAGTGGATTAACAGCTCTGATGTAGATCATGCATTACATGAAAGAATGCTATCACAGTTGGCACAATGTGAATTTGCACAGAAAAAATCCAGACTAGTTTCAAATATGAGTCGAGAAGAGTTAGATAGTTATGAACAGCTATCCAAAGAAATTGAAATACAAATAGAAGAAGCTAAAGAAGATATAGAAAAAACTAAAATAGAATTGCAAGATGCCAAACGTGTGAGAAAGAATAGAATAGAATATGATGTATTAGCCAAAGTCATTAATGAACAACCAGATCGATTGGAAACAGACATCAAGCTTGCCACATTACAACAAGAATTAGCCACTTTGAAGGTTCGAAAAAATATGTTTATATGTATATATACACCTCTTGTAAAAAATACGAAAATTAATTATATTTTTGAATAATGTTTTACTTGCAGGAAAAATCAGAACAGTTGGAGCACAAGTTAGAAATGCGTCGTAAACAATTCCATGTTTTAATATCATCTATACATTCTCTACAAGGAATGTTAGATGAGTGCGATGAAGAAATAATTGATGTGAGCCTTCAAAGTGAAACAGAGGACACAGATGTGCAAATGCGTAACAGTCCATAAAGTACATTTACTTTATAAATAATTTAAAATAAGTGACAATAAAAAAGCAATTTGATAAAATTCTATTTTTATTTTCAATGTTATTCAGTGTAACTGTATTTTTCAAAAATTTCGATAATATATCAAAATATATGTATCAAAAAATCTTTAATTTTAATTTGCTAGTTTTTGGTACATGTCTAATAGTTAAAGACAGTCTAGTACCACGTTTCATTATTTCTCCTTCTGTAAATTTTCCTGTACACATATGTAAATTTTTTATTGAAGATTCTGATATACTATCGACATCTCTTTCAGCTATAGAATGCAAATAATTGTGATATAAGTCCTTTTGTAAAACTAATAGACTTCTGCGTTCTAATAATAAGCTGAATTCTAACTTGGGCAGTTGTTGCTAAAAGAATGTATATTATATATAAATATGCATTATAGCATCTTTCATTGTACATTGCAGTATCTACCTCTGTCGTGTCGAGCCGTTTGTAAAAGTCAAGAAATGTATGAGAACCACAACTGATAGTAGTTACAACAGGATAAAAAAGTGGGCCATCAGAGTGTGCCTAGTAAAAACATTAATGTTCACAATATATACATACTTCCACATTTGAGAGAGAAAAAATATGTGATGTGTGATAAACATAAATATAATCTATACATCATAAAGAAAACTTATTGCCTATTGTATTCAACGTACCATTATACCTTGTCCTGATAAATATTCATTAATTAAAACGTGATTAGGTAATACTGCACTGTCAAAAGCATTCAAAGCTGTTACTTTATCTATATAATTCTGAAGCCACTAAAATATTATCAATATTTTATCAATATATTCATTTAATCTTGTATTTAAATATTAAACATAAATGTTATCACAAATATTAAAAATCTACAAATTTTTATCCTTAAAATAATTCTAAGATTTTTTACATTTTTGCTACCTACACTAGGAATCTCTTCCGCTATCATTCCCTTAGAATGTGGTATGCCACCCCAATTTTGCAATCTACGGTGACTCAATTGCGTCCATTTTGGTTGTGGTACACTATTTATGTATTTTATAATTTGTTTCTCTTCCTCCTCGGTGATAAAGTTCGGTATATAACACGCAGTGTCTGGTATCTGTGTTTTACAAAATATATTTAAGTAGATTTTCTTTCAATTAAAATATAAGTAAAGAGAGAGTATCTCAATTAGCTAATAAAAATAAACCTGTGAAACTACTGCATTGAACAATAAGGAACTCCGTTCCTCATTCATTTTTACAATTTTTCTAAATAGTAATAATACGAACGAATGGGCACCTTGCCAAGCCTACAAAAGATAATTTCAGGAATCAATAAATGTCGATGAACGATAACGTAAACAACTGTGAATTATAAACAGCTGAGGAACCGCGTGCATGCAATACGTGCGCGTGCGTACACGAGAAAATTGATGAAACTGACAGCTAGCAGAAGCTTCAGTCGTACGCAGTCGTAAACGTCAAATGTTTGTTTTCTTCCGCGGGTCACATGGCAATGGCAAATTAGCAATTCCGTTATACGGATACCGGAACATCGTAACAAATATTGTTCATGGCAATATATTACGTAGACTTTACGTTCAACGAGTGCGAATTTTAATCGTAAAAGTTATCTTACTGCACAACACACAAGATACCAGAATATACAAATTTGCCGTTGTTCAGGCGCTGTATATGTTGATCAATAGTGTAATTTGCATAAAATCGATTAATGACCTAAACTAACACATTCCGCAGTATGAATTTCTACGAGAACAATACCGGCCTGTTAAATTTGCTAAAATAAACTAAATAATAAGTGAAGTAAAAGCAAAGTATAAACAGATATTAATAAATTAAATTGTTTCAATTGTACTTCGTAAATTGTACACAAAATTTTTTTACAATTAAATTGTAAAACAGAAGTTTTTTCTCTCTAGAATAATTATACTTTTAAACTAAATAAATAAAATGTATATTAATTGTAAGTTTTTGATGTGAGGATTAAATGGCTGATAAAAACATTAAAGTAATTCATCAGGTATAATTATATATAATAATACAATTATAAACGTGACAGTTCTGATTACATTTAAAGTAATTAATTATGCTCTTATACTTCATATTTTTTAAAAATGTGATTCTTTTACAGTTTCTTATGGATCATAATTTGGAAAACACTGCTGAAGTTTTAATTCAAGAAGTTTCAAAAATGGGCTTTCAAAATTCGGCACGCAAATTAAAAGCTACTGTAGATCCGTATGCTCAATTAATATTATGTTACAATACCGGAGATTATTCAACATTTTTCCAGGTAAAAAGTTATCTGTAAAAGTTATGTGTAAATGTATAGAGATGTACTATAGCTCAAATATCTGCACTCATATATATGTATAAGATTAAATTAGATAAGCTATTTAATTTAATTATAAGATATTTAATTTTTTCCAGTTATGGAAGGATTTGTTTCCTAACGGCATTAAACAGTGTGAAGAATATAAAAAATTTACATTTTATTTACATGTGCATTTTGCTATATTACCAAAACGTAAATTTTATGCTGATCAATATAAAGAACACGGTAAGAAAGATAAATTGTTAATTTAATATGCAATATATATAATTTATATGCACTTTATATGCCATTTTCTTAATTTTTGTTATAAAGTAGAATTGACATCAGAAATAAAAACACCAAAATTGTTTTCAGTAGAAGATTCTACTTTGGAGAACTGCAAGGAGGTAATTATGTACATACATATATATCTATATGTTTAATTATATTTTCTGTATATTTATTCTTCGTGAATATTCTCGCGATATATTACGTTTAAAATAAAATGTTAATGCTTAATGTAATAATTTACTATATGAAATATTTTAAAAATAATTAATCTAAAGATATTATTAATAATAAACAGAACAACGCAACTGAAATCGAAAAAAATATAAATAACAGCATGAAACAATTACAAGATTATTTGAATGGAGATGGCAAGGAATTAGAAAATGACATAGAATTACAATCGTTTTATGCACTGCCATTTATAGAAGATATTCATGCAGACACTTTTTTCTCCAAAATATTAGAACAGAGTTGGATGGATGAACTATCGAGAAATCTCAATTTATTTATTAAAAATCATAAACAAGTGAGTAAATTTGAGAATTCTGTGTATCCACGTGTTTATATTTAATAATAGAAACGAATGACGATGAGAAATTTGAAATACAAATTATAATTATAATTTTTACGAAATTTATAGGATTTAATCGATTTGAACAATATAAATCTTAAAAAAGTACAATCACGGGATTTAGTACATACTATGCCAGTGACAGAAGTAGAAATGGTAGAATCAGATGCTGCACGAAATAAGATTATAAAGAATAATACGTTAATTGTGCCAAACGATAGAGATATACCCATATTTTTAGAAGACCATGACGATGAGGAGCAATACAGTTTATCTCATAAAACAAATCGTAATCTAAAATCAAAGTATGAGAATCTTTTTATATGATTTTAGCACAAATAAATTATAGAATAATTTGTATGTGTGTTATTTTTTACAGAGATACACAAACACATATTACTGGAGATCAAATTATAATCAAGAATTCACGAGAAGATACATTGAATTCGGGAGAAAATGTTAATAGTTTGCTGAAGATGCACAAACTAGACAAAAAATTGGGCCAATGCAATCAAGAATTGGTATTGACCAAGACCCATTTATGCAGTGTTCATACAAATTACGAGAAATTAAAAGTGAGATTTCACAAATTACACGCGGACTATCATAAGTTAATAAACGTTGCCGGAGAATTAACTGTAGCATTGGAAAATTCAGTAAAAGGACAGACTGTTGATATACAACGAACGCTCGAAATTTGCATGAAGATATTTCCAGATCTATTTAATCAAAATATAAGAGAGACTTCCTATGTAAGTATATAAAGAAAATCTTGACATTTTTCAAAAACTTTGTATTTTTAATATTTCATCATTTTCAATAGCCATCCTTGTTGCAATTCGGTCAAACTGATGTAAAAACAATTGCCCGGCCTAAAGTTGATCAAGTCGCAGCATTATCAGTATCTCCAAAATTATTGGACTATAAAAAAATCAAATTACATCTACTTAATGGAGATGTGAAGACAAAATTATTGCTATTGCAAGCATTACGTTGGGTATTAAAATTATTAATAAATAAATAAAGTAATATAAATACAATATGTGATATAATAAAAGGCCAACTTAACGAGCTTATATGCTATTAATTGAAAAATTTTTATTTATTAATTTACGTCATACTATACAAAAGTTACGATAAACGTTTCGACTGTACGACAGTCTTTCTCAATATCCTAATAATATGTTAAAAAATTAATTTAGTCATTTCGACATCATAAATAAATACAACAATTATAAGATTATATGACGAACGCAGTACAAAATTCATGATTGTTGGCATGAGTTAGAGCATCAGATGCTGTTATATTATGTAACGACACTGTGAACAAATTAATATATCCGCTCAAATATTACAATACATTTAGATTTTTAATAAATAGTATTAACTTACTTTTTTGTCAACGAACATAACACCTTTGTTAAAAAATTATTTCTTTTTACTTAACATAATCACAATGTGTACTTTTTTAAAAAACAAATCGATATCTGTATCTTACAATGTCGGCGCGCTGTATATATACCCAATTTTTAAGATGACGTAGACAATTTTTTTAGAATATCATAATAAGAACCGTCAAGACGCTCGGTGTCCTTTTTTAGGTTGATACTGTTGTTTTCTTCTTTAATATATATCATTTCTGATATCAACCTTTTATAATAATTCTTTTCATAATCTAGGATTTTTGTGTCGTTCCAATTGAAATTTTTATTAGGATATTGAGAAAGACTGTCGTACAGTCGAAACGTTTATCGTAACTTTTGTATAGTATGACGTAAATTAATAAATAAAAATTTTTCAATTAATAGCATATAAGCTCGTTAAGTTGGCCTTTTATTATATCACATATTTTAATTGTATACGAGCCGAAGTTTAATTTATAAAATATATAAATATAAATACATATTAGTTATACATATTAATTACATATTATTTTAATAAATTTATATTTTTAGAAAATAACGCTTGCGCAGTTGAACGAACAGGATGAAGTTTTGCACGAATATATAAGCCACGATTTAATGGGGCTTCATGGACAAATTGCTAGCGACAGTGGCAAGCCGATTTTACCGTGTCTGCTGACTGTAGGAGAAGCTTATGCCAGGCATCTTTTACAACAGTTTACTGCACGATTACTAAACACATTAGCATCCTTTAGATGCGGAAGAGATTATCTATCGGTCGGATCTACCGTCGTAAACGTGGTATGTTAATAAAAATTAATCATTTATGTACGTTTTCATTATTCGTAATATCAAAATTAAACAAAAATATTTTACTCGAAATTACGAAACTAAAGTAAATTCAAATATAAACTTGTTAATATTAATTACGATCCTCGATATTTCAGATCTTTGTGTGTCTCGATAGTAATAACGCTGACGGAGTTGACGTTTTTGCATGTGACATGATGGTAGCGATGTTACAGAAACTATCTTTACGCAGACAGCAACGGATATATATGATAGAAAACGGATTGTTGGAATGGTTAATCAATCATTTACACAACAAATGTCGTCTCATAAGTTTATACAGGCTTGAATATGCTACCGCACTTTTAATGAATCTATCGTTACATCGATTAGCGCAAGCTAGAGCATCTAAAATATCTTCTTTACTCGTTTCTACATTACTCATTCTTCTCTCGATAGATCATGCATCTGTGAGTATATGAATTATTTAACGAAAATGTAATATAGAAAAAAAATTTAAAAGGATTAATGTAAGAAATCTTTATATATAAAGTTTTTATATTATTTACTAGTCTCTACCATATATCAATGGAGCGCTAAATAATTTTTTAAATAATCCTGTAATCAATGAGGAAGCAAAAAAAATAAAATGTTCGAATATATCGGATTATCTTAGTAACAATCAAAAAACTGCAGAAATAAGGTATGCCCGGATAAAATAGATATATAAAGTTTCTAAAGCAAGGATTCAAATTTTTACTATATAGAAAATAAGAAAATAATCACATTAAAGAGTAATTTATGCACTTATAATTAATACGACTAATATAATAATGTATGTTCTTACACTGTAAATCTTTTGGAGTGATGATTTAGAAAGTTCACATTTGTAAATACAATTAGAAGATACACAACCTCTGTGAAGCTGGCCCCTCATTTTCAAAAATTTGAAATTTTTATTAGAGTTCTGATAGCCCCCCTAAGAGTTCTAAAGTTCTCTATCGGTTTTAGAAATAGTTCCGCCATTTAAAATAGAAAAAATATCATTTGAAGATACGGGGGGGCCAACTTCACATTTTTTGCAACTTTAACTTGGCATAACTTTTTTGTTATCAATTTTAGAGCTTTGGTTATTAAGGATAATTGCTAGAACTCTTTGGGGGGCTATTAGAACTCTCAACAGAATTGTCAAATACCGAAAAAAATTTTCACCTTTCTAAAAATCGATAATTCGGGTAAAAATTTTTTCGGAAATCGGCAGTTCTCTCAAGAGTTCTGGTAGCCCCCCGAAGAGTTCTAACGAATCTTCTTAATGATCGAAGCGCTACGACGCGAAATTAAAAAGTTCTGGCTCCTTAAAGTTGCAGATTTGAAAAATTTCAAAGTCCCAGAGGGGTAGAAATTTTTTTCGGAAATCGGCAGTTCTCTCGAGAGTTCTGGTAGCCCCCCGAAGTGTTCTAACGATTCTTCTTAATGACCGAAGCGCTACGACGCGAAATTAAAAAGTTCTGGCTCCCTAAAGTTGCAGATTTGAAAAATTTCAGTCCCAGAGGGGTAGAAATTTTTTTCGGAAATCGGCAGTTCTCTCGAGAGTTCTGGTAGCCCCCCGAAGAGTTCTAACGATTCTTCTTAATGATCGAAGCGCTACGACGCGAAATTAATAAGTTCTGGCTCCCTAAAGTTGCAGATTTGAAAAATTTCAAAGTCCCAGAGGGGTAGAAATTTTTTTCGGAAATCGACAGTTTTCTCGAGAGTTCTGGTAGCCCCCCGAAGAGTTCTAACGATTCTTCTTAATGATCGAAGCGCTACGACGCAAAATTAAAAAGTTCTGGTTCCCTAAAGTTGCAGATTTGAAAAATTTCAAAGTCCCAGAGGGGTAGAAATTTTTTTCGGAAATCGACAGTTCTCTCGAGAGTTCTGGTAGCCCCCCGAAGAGTTCTAACGATTCTTCTTAATGATCGAAGCGCTACGACGCGAAATTAAAAAGTTCTGGCTCCCTAAAGTTGCAGATTTGAAAAATTTCAAAGTCCCAGAGGGGTAGAAATTTTTTTCGGAAATCGACAGTTTTCTCGAGAGTTCTGGTAGCCCCCCGAAGAGTTCTAACGATTCTTCTTAATGATCGAAGCGCTACGACGCAAAAGGGAGCCAGAACTTTTTAATTTCGCGTCGTAGCGCTTCGATCATTAAGAAGAATCGTTAGAACTCTTCGGGGGGCTACCAGAACTCTCGAGAGAACTGTCGATTTCCGAAAAAAATTTCTACCCCTCTGGGACTTTGAAATTTTTCAAATCTGCAACTTTAGGGAACCAGAACTTTTTAATTTTGCGTCGTAGCGCTTCGATTATTAAGAAGAATCGTTAGAACTCTTCGGGGGGCTACCAGAACTCTCGAGAGAACTGTCGATTTCCGAAAAAAATTTCTACCCCTCTGGGACTTTGAAATTTTTCAAATCTGCAACTTTAGGGAACCAGAACTTTTTAATTTTGCGTCGTAGCGCTTCGATCATTAAGAAGAATCGTTAGAACTCTTCGGGGGGCTACCAGAACTCTCGAGAAAACTGTCGATTTCCGAAAAAAATTTCTACCCCTCTGGGACTTTGAAATTTTTCAAATCTGCAACTTTAGGGAGCCAGAACTTATTAATTTCGCGTCGTAGCGCTTCGATCATTAAGAAGAATCGTTAGAACTCTTCGGGGGGCTACCAGAACTCTCGAGAGAACTGCCGATTTCCGAAAAAAATTTCTACCCCTCTGGGACTGAAATTTTTCAAATCTGCAACTTTAGGGAGCCAGAACTTTTTAATTTCGCGTCGTAGCGCTTCGGTCATTAAGAAGAATCGTTAGAACACTTCGGGGGGCTACCAGAACTCTCGAGAGAACTGCCGATTTCCGAAAAAAATTTCTACCCCTCTGGGACTTTGAAATTTTTCAAATCTGCAACTTTAAGGAGCCAGAACTTTTTAATTTCGCGTCGTAGCGCTTCGATCATTAAGAAGATTCGTTAGAACTCTTCGGGGGGCTACCAGAACTCTCGAGAGAACTGCCGATTTCCGAAAAAATTTTTACCCGAATTATCGATTTTTAGAAAGGTGAAAATTTTTTTCGGTATTTGACAATTCTGTTGAGAGTTCTAATAGCCCCCCAAAGAGTTCTAGCAATTATCCTTAATAACCAAAGCTCTAAAATTGATAACAAAAAAGTTATGCCAAGTTAAAGTTGCAAAAAATGTGAAGTTGGCCCCCCCGTATCTTCAAATGATATTTTTTCTATTTTAAATGGCGGAACTATTTCTAAAACCGATAGAGAACTTTAGAACTCTTAGGGGGGCTATCAGAACTCTAATAAAAATTTCAAATTTTTGAAAATGAGGGGCCAGCTTCACAGAGGTAGATACACAACAATTTTCTTTTATTAAAAAAATTAACTTAAATGATGATAATTTCGGTATATTAGAAAGCATCTAGAGCATATATTGAAAATACAAAGGTGTGAAAATGTTAATACACCGCAGACTGAAGAGACTGGAGATGATGATAACGTAAGTACAGTGTAAATTCACTAAATAAATGTTGTCTGACAATGAGTATCATAATATGTTCAATAGGAAGAGTTGGATGTATTGGAAAATGAATTAGACGAAAATGATCCACTACAAAATTATGTCGGTGAATTGAATGGAGAAACGCTGCTTGCAATGTGTTATAGCGTTTCTTCGAAAATTCCTCAGGATACTATAACTACGGATACTACTCTACAAAAAATATCTACGCTGAATCCTATTAATTTTTACGACAATCAGCACAATAATTACCTTTGCAGTAAACGCCCAGCATATCCTGCGTTAAGGTATTTACATAAGTTGTATACTTCAAAATTATCACCACATTTTATGTATAGAAAATGATCAAATTAGCGTCGCGCAATTTTTTCCTAATAACATACATATATGTTATATAAATGTTATATATACAGCTAAGATTTATTTGATATAATAATAGTAAATTGAAATAGTAGGTATAATATGAAGATGGAAAATAAGATGTTATCAAAAAAAAGTAGTATTAAACTAGCAGCTCTTGCTAAACAAGTATCAAAGTTATCAAATTCTTCTTTGAAGGTACAATATCTAAAATAAAATTCGGGATAAATTTTTAAATCTTTTCTTTTTTCATATAATATATATCGATAATATTTTCAAGGAACAGCAAAGTATAAATGGCACGAATAAAGAATCGCTCTCTGCAGATAAAATTGAAAATATTGCAAAAAGATTTGTCAGTACCAAATCTTCCTTAATTATGAAATACGAAAGTCGGCAAGAACAGTATGAAAATTTAAATATATTAAAAAATATAGTTTGGTCATCAAGCACGATCAAAAACAAAAATCACAATCAATACGAATTTAATTGCAATAATCGCGTCGACACAAATAACATGCAAATGAATCAATTAAAATTACGTAGATCACAAAATAAGATTGACGCAGAAAAATTCTATGATGGAAAATGCAAAATAACGGAATGGGAAAAATTACCTTTAAAACCTTTTAAGCGAAATTTTTTTCAGAAAACAATTCTGAATGATACTATTTGTTTATATAAAAATCAGACTTCCAAGTGTGTTATTAATTAATTTAATTAAATTAAGCTCAAAAATAATTTGACATTAAATAGATATATTTAACTTATAATTTTATAATTAATAGCTATACGTTACGATACATTTATTACGTTTTACAGGGACAGCAGTGAAACTGCAATAACATCTTCTGTGACTGTTACATCCGGTCGCGAAAATAGCCAAATGACAGGTATGTACTTCACATTTCTAATTATTATTTAAATATTCAGAACAAGAAACTCTTCTATGTTTCATCTTTTATGTGAACACTAACTCGAAAATGACGAACTTGGCACATTAAGAGAATAAATCGCAAGTGACATTCAGTGAAAGCTTTATGACTTTCCCTGCATGTTCAGAACCTTGAGAAAATTAGAGCACGTAAACGAAAGTGATGGAGACTTAGATAAATAATAATCATTAAATGACATACGATGATAAAACTTATTAAAATTATTTAAAAAATACTATATATTATTTGAAATAGTAATTTAAGTTATTCATATTCATCATATTTTTTTAATTTATATACATTTACATAATTTGATAATGGATGGAATGAATAGATGATGCAATTTTTTCTACTGAAATTAACAAAAAACAAATATATAAAACAATTTTTATTATTGTGAATCTTATTATTATTATTAACTTTTAAGTAGAATATAAATCTAATTTTTACAGAAACAGAGAAATTTAGCAGTATAGCGTCGCTGTGAGTAACTTTATGTATACATATATTGTAGTGCACTTCTTACACACCAACTTTTCGATAATTATTTGTATTGTTGAAGCACGCATGTTTTGTATTATTTAATTATTCTACATGCATATTTTATCTATATTATGACAATTTATGTATTTTTATAACTTATTATACATATTTTAAATAAATTATATATTTATTACTTGTTTTAATAAAATGCTTTTGTTTATCTCTCCAGATTATATGTATACATAGCTTTTATAAATCGATTTAGCAACAATATTGTTTGTAGGAATAGTAATAATATAAAAAATAAATTAATACAAATTGTCGCTCGTGTATTGAAAACAAAGTGATAAATATAAGGCCAACTTATCGAGCTGAATATTCGAGATGTTCAGTCAACTACCATTTATTACATGTATAAATTATAAACTACAGTCATTATATTATATTAAAACTAACGCAAATTAACGCAAATTACAATCATTCTATAAACGTTTCGACCGCACGCGGTCTTCTTCAGTATAATTATTGAAAAATAAATTCTTACAATTCATATGATATCGAAATTTAATTATAGTTATTCAGAATCGAGAGTTTTTGAGCAATTAACGCGTGTTTCAATCCGTCCTGTCCAACAATGTTCGCCTCGATATGATCTCTGATTTTGTTCAGATCTTGGATGATTTCATCGTTAATATGCGAGAAATTAACCCGTACCGTAGGCGCTGCGATTAATAAAAAATTACCGATCAACGTATGTCCAAATTATAATATATATCCCCTACAATTGGTAGTATGCTTACCTATCATCGTTCTTCTTGACAATTTTGCTACTTATTAACAGTTATTAAGGATGACACTTAACAAACAACAATACAGAAAGACAGCTCATTTTAAACTCTACTTGATCGGAGAGCGTGCGTGTTTATATATGATCTAATATCTATGTTTTACTCGTTAATGTCCTATTTGTCCTATTATTATTTATTGTTCGCCAATATATCCAAAATATCAAAATACGACTCGCTAAGTAACTCAGTATCTTTGTTTAAATTTAGTCCATTTTTTTGTTCCTTGATATGTAGCATCTCAGAAATGAGTCTTTTATAATAATTATTTTCGTTGTCCATGATCTTAACATTGTCCCAATTAAAAGTATGATGTTCATTTATTATGTGTTCAGAAATTACTGAATGTTTCGTTGAGTCCAACCTAATATTATTTTTATGTTCTTTTATTCGCGTCTGCAATTGCCTCTTTGTTTGGCCTACATAAGATGCATTACAATTATTGCAACTGATCTTATAAACCACATTCGAATTGCATGGATGTTTAGTTTTATCTTTCTGTGCTTTAATAATATTATCCAGTTTGTTGAGACATCTATACCCTACCATACAATTTTTATTTTTCACCGAGGAAACAATCATTTCTGAGACCCTATCTATATACGGACTTATATCTCTTTACATTTTGAAACTTCACAACCGACGAAGATATCACAAAATTCTCTCAGGGCAATCACTAATGATGCCAAGGAGATCAATATACACATTGAAGCCAATAAATTTCTCAATGATACAATTAACCCTTTGGAAAATACTAATAAAAAATGGTTTGTTAATCTATCCAACACAGACATTCCGCCTAACGTATCTAATCTGTTGCAAATGGGTGATAAATTCTGTCTTCCGAATATTAGTAAAAAAACAGCGATACATGAATTTATCAAGGACATAGAGAGTAATAGCAAACGAAATAATATTAATAATCTCACAACGATCAGAAATATCGCGGTTCCAAAATTTGCACAACTTCTTAACACGAAGGATAAAAATGACGTAAGTCAACAAAAATTACTTGGTGCACACAGAGATTTAATAAAATTTTGTAAAGACAATCCGAATGTTCTATTCACACGCGCGGACAAAGGTAATGCTACGGTCGCGATGGATAGATCTTATTATATTAACAAAATGGAAAACGTTTTAAAAGATGTCAACACTTACACTATTGTTAAAAAAAATCCGTGCAAAAAAATAGAGAACGATTTGAATGGTTTGTTGAAGAGATGGCTTAAGGAAGATTATATTTCAAAAAACGAATATTATAAATTACGTTGTAGTGATTCTCTCCTTCCAAAAGCGTATGGATTACCTAAAATCCATAAGGAAAACTATCCGGTTAGAATCATAGTTTCATCGGTTGATACGGCTCTATACTCGCTGGCTTCGTTTTTACAAAACACCTTACGAACTAGCCTACCCAAAGCGAAAAGTCATATTAATAATAGTTTTGATTTGTACAGCATATTGTCTGGTAAAAAGATTGATGAGAATGATAGGATGTTTTCCTTGGATGTGGTGTCTTTGTTTACGAACGTTCCTCTGGATCTTGCGATTGACGGTATTAACGATAGATGGGATCACATTGGAATAAATACTAAAATACCGAAAAACGAATTTTTGGGGGGTATAAAATTCATACTGACTTCTACATATTTTACATTTGATGACATAATTTATAAACAGACGTTTGGGACCCCTATGGGGTCACCGTTATCACCAATTATTGCAGACCTGGTTATGCAAGATCTTGAGGATACAGTTCTCAAAGCGTTGAATTTGGAATGTTTGTTTTATTTTCGTTATGTGGATGACATAATAGTGGCCACCTCTATGACTAATATGACTCAGATTGTGAATAATTTTAACAACTATCATGAAAGACTTAAATTCACGGTCGAACAAGAGGTTAATCATAGCTTGAATTTCTTAGATTTATCACTTAAAATTATTAATAACAAAATATATATAGACTGGTATCAAAAAGAAACCTTCTCAGGAAGGACGTTATCATTTTATTCAAACCACCCATTATGCCACAAAATTGGAATAATATATAACCTTGTAGACAGATGTCTATTGCTATCACATCCACTATTTTTTAATAAAAATTTGGAGTTAATTATTAATATACTCAGAAGCAATGGTTACCCTCTTGATCTGATTTTTAACAAAATTAATCATCGGATAGAACACATCATATCTAAGGGGAGCATTTTAGAGAGACAGGCCAACATAGAAAGAACAAAAAGTATAAGAAATGACTCGGTTAATAAAAAATTCTTTGTCATTCCGTATATAGATAGGGTCTCAGAAATGATTGTTTCCTCGGTGAAAAATAAAAATTGTATGGTAGGGTATAGATGTCTCAACAAACTGGATAATATTATTAAAGCACAGAAAGATAAAACTAAACATCCATGCAATTCGAATGTGGTTTATAAGATCAGTTGCAATAATTGTAATGCATCTTATGTAGGCCAAACAAAGAGGCAATTGCAGACGCGAATAAAAGAACATAAAAATAATATTAGGTTGGACTCAACGAAACATTCAGTAATTTCTGAACACATAATAAATGAACATCATACTTTTAATTGGGACAATGTTAAGATCATGGACAACGAAAATAATTATTATAAAAGACTCATTTCTGAGATGCTACATATCAAGGAACAAAAAAATGGACTAAATTTAAACAAAGATACTGAGTTACTTAGCGAGTCGTATTTTGATATTTTGGATATATTGGCGAACAATAAATAATAATAGGACAAATAGGACATTAACGAGTAAAACATAGATATTAGATCATATATAAACACGCACGCTCTCCGATCAAGTAGAGTTTAAAATGAGCTGTCTTTCTGTATTGTTGTTTGTTAAGTGTCATCCTTAATAACTGTTAATAAGTAGCAAAATTGTCAAGAAGAACGATGATAGGTAAGCATACTACCAATTGTAGGGGATATATATTATAATTTGGACATACGTTGATCGGTAATTTTTTATTAATCGCAGCGCCTACGGTACGGGTTAATTTCTCGCATATTAACGATGAAATCATCCAAGATCTGAACAAAATCAGAGATCATATCGAGGCGAACATTGTTGGACAGGACGGATTGAAACACGCGTTAATTGCTCAAAAACTCTCGATTCTGAATAACTATAATTAAATTTCGATATCATATGAATTGTAAGAATTTATTTTTCAATAATTATACTGAAGAAGACCGCGTGCGGTCGAAACGTTTATAGAATGATTGTAATTTGCGTTAATTTGCGTTAGTTTTAATATAATATAATGACTGTAGTTTATAATTTATACATGTAATAAATGGTAGTTGACTGAACATCTCGAATATTCAGCTCGATAAGTTGGCCTTATATTTATCACTTAGTAATAATATAGTTAAGGATAATTTATGGAAAAATGATCCAGTGCTTATTAAAGAAGAAGAAGAAGCATTTCTGGCCAAGCCTAAGCTATCACGAACACCTCCATAAAAATTGGAAATTCTATGATATGTGCAATTTAAAAATGTTAGTTTCTTTATATATATATATATATATATATATATATATATATATATAAGAATCGTAGAATTATGGTAACTGAAACTTTTATTAACATAAGATAACAATTGCAGAATTTTCCACAGTGTTTATCATAGATATAATGTATAAATATAAATATAAAATATGTGCATGTATTCTATTCAAAAAACGATTTTAGTTTTTTAATAATTTTAAATAAATATCATTAACTGCTATCTAGAAAATGCTTGTATATCATATATATGACAATTTATATTCCAACCAATAATGTTGAAAAAAATTTTAGAAACATAAATTTTCTTAATATATATAATATATATAAACACAAATATATGTTTATCTCTCTCTCTACACATCAATGTGTATAATATTTTTTAAAAATTATATATACATAATTATATAAAAAGGAAAAAATAATAGAAACGTCCACTTCAACATTTATAAAAAAATTGAACATTTTTATTTTGAATAACATTAGAGTGCAAAAATTCCTATTAAAATATACTTATAAAATAAATATATATATATATATATATAGTATGTATATATACAAATCTTAAACACATTGGTGTGTGTGTATACGTTATACTTTTTAAATATTACCTTATAAAAATATTAAATAGAAATAGCCCTTTTCACGAGCATTGGATTACCGCTAATTCTATATCGTCTTGACACAGTGGGATTGTCATTATAATTACTACTACTGCCACTATATGCATCAAAATTCGGTGAAGTGGAATAACCATTCATGAAACCGCCGCTCTTACTCCTGTAACCACTACTACCAGCGTAAGATGACTCATCGGAGTAAATACGACTGCTGTAATTCGGCGGCCTGCTGTCTTTAATTATAATGATTTTTCTACTATCTTTACCGTAAGGAACGTGATAACCATCGCGTTCTCTCGACAAGTAAGTTACGCCGCTATTCGGAGCGTAGCGAGATAAATACTTGTAATATTTATTCGGTTTTCCTGTGGAGTAAATAGCAGAACTAGGTGCCTTCGAGAAGTAACTGTTCGGTCTAGAAGCCGAGATATACGATGGAACATCTTGATTAGGGCTCACGTATCCCGTATTTCCCCGTGTGAAGCGCGTGTCGGGCGCGAATGGTATCGAAGAGAAGATATCACTGTACTTGTTGCTGCCTTTTAAGTTGTATGGGATGTCTTTCTGCTTTCCAAATGGGTATTCGCTAGTCAAACCACCTGACAAATAAGAGGGATATACTTGATCACTTTCGGAGTAACTTGAGGAGCCAGAAGAACCGCGATATCCTTGTAAGTCACTATTAACGGAATCTCCGGAGTAATTTTCTATTGCTGCGTTGGAAAATTCAGAATAAGCGGGTACTTTTTTACTATTACTGCTACTACTAGCTGTGTACTGGCCAAAATCGGAATCTTTGTGAATTGGATCGTTGGAATACGCGTTCAAAGTTGATTCCGCATTGTTGTTAGGATTAGAATATCCACTAAACAGTGTATTAGTTGCTGTACGAGTAGACGAGGTGTAAGAATCGCTGTTGGGATTCTCGTAAATATTGGAATATCCTGTGTATTCATCTCTGTGATTACTCGCGGTATATCCGTTATAATTGCTTCCAATATCGCTTCCTATACTACCCGCCTGATTGCCGACATTGATTAATGAGTGGCTGCTGACGTCGGATAATTTGTGATTGCCGTCTCCAGCACCGTAAAAATTTCCATCGTTTTGATAACTATTCTTAGATCGTAAGTATGCATTATTAGTAACGGTGTTACTAAGATCATATCCATTGTTATTTCTGGTAAAAGAATAGCCTACAATAAAATAATACTTCGATTAAAGCGCGATTTTGTAAATTTTAATATTAATATTTTGCTTAGGAAATATCTTATTTATAATAATTAATGATAAAGATAAAATTTTATATAGATCACTAAATTTTTATATAATTTTTGTATTTTTAACGATAATATAGATACAAGAAACACGAAACTTTATAATACGTACTGTTAAGAGGTGGCTCCGCATTCACAACTATTGCACAACAAATTATCACTGCTCTCTAAAAAATAATTATTTCTCGTTAAGAACAAAAAGAAATAAGATATAATTCTTCTAACGTAAAACACTGAACATTATATATATTTATAATTTTTAAATTACTCTAATGTAATCACCTTAATTTAAATAAAAAAATTAGAAACAACAATTTACATGTTTTTTTTCTATTAAAATTAAGATTACAAAAAATTTCATTCAAAAAAATATTTTTTAAGTGATAATAGCATATTACTTTTTATTTTCTTATGCTATTAATTAAAATTAAATATATTATAGTACATCTTTTTTATTCATCGCGCGCGACATGATAAATATAAATTATATATTTTTGTTTTCTGAATTTATTAAGTATTTAATATTATATAAAAATTAAATATTTTCTTTCATAAACTTTTCTTATTTTTTAATATTTGTAGATTATATATTGATCTTTACTTACTAATAACATGCTGACTCTTGCCACGTCTTAACAATAACTAATGTCAACCGAGTAAGAACAAATGAATCTCTGTTGTCTACTAAAATGGAACTACACATATATTAGCTGGTAAAAGCGCTGTTTTCTGTTTTATACCCCCAGTAACCCACTCCCTCGCTTTACAAAAAGGTAAAAGCGATCTCGGTACGCACATACTGATGTGACATTGGTCGAGACCTGACCATACAGAGCAGAGAGAGCCAACCTGCTTTAGCTCTTCACTTTTACAGGGAAAGCAATGGCTCACCTCTCTGTATAACTACATGGTGAACTATACGATGACACGATGATATGACCTACCTATCTAATATACGAAGGTTATATGAAAATATATCTAAGAAGAACTCTCCGCCTCTTTATACTCTATTGCAATACTTAATCGCGTATATTACAGTATTCCTTAACATCACAATGATTGCGTGACATAGTAAATGCAATGAGGCCTATAAGAACAGATATCTCCTTGAACATATCCCATTGAAAATTTATGTATAATTTATGCATGTAATTTATGCTATTAGTAATCTACAATGTCCATTTGCATTAATTTAGCAACAAGATTTCAATAAGTACTAAAGTTTTTTTATCCCTTATTATTATCATAAAAATATTGCTATAATTAATATACAAAACCTTATATTCATCTAAAATAGTGTATGATATAATTGAAATTATAAATACTTTAATTTTAATCATTTTTCAACATTATGTCATGTATAATTTTATAGATAACTTTATGATATCAAAAGTTTAATAAAATCTATTTACTAACAAAAGATTCATCGAGATATATGAAACTATATGAATTAAATATTATAAATTAAGAATCTATTTCAATATCAGTTATTATGACATGTATAATTTTATTTAATTGGATATTATATAATAACGCTGTATAAAATATTTAATAAATTAAATATAAAAAATGCAAACGCGTATAAGATATATATTAGATTACGATACTTATAATTTTTTCACTATCAGATTAAATCAAATTTTTCTAAGATATTAAAATATGCACTTTTACACTTTGAGTCAAAATTGAAATTCGTGACTAAAGTCGAAAGATATATATTTTAGACCTATTTTACATACGTACACATAAACTGAGTATCTTGCTTGAATAATAATGCTGCTAGCGTAGAAAAGAAAGTTTTTCGTTGTTCCCTTAAATATAGCAAATCTAATACATGTGAGAATTTTTACTTTTCTTGGAGTTTGCTCTTTCATAGAAAGTTGAAATCTCATCTCATTAAATTCAATCTTTCTTTTATTATTGGTAATGAGCATATTAATAAATGCTCATGTTTAAAATTCTCATTATTATATGATTATTACAAGACATCACATTATGTCAAAAATTTGCGATTTTCAAACAAATTAAAAAAAAAGAAACACAATTTAATAATGTAAATATTATTTCTGATAGCACAATATTAATAATTAATAAATTACGAAATAAGAAATTGCATTAAAAGTAATCTCGGTCAGAAGTTGGTCTACATGCATTTGCCGGATATATGCAACGTTTCAAGTTCATACATCCGTTTTGAAAGTTCGTAATTGAAGCAGAAAAAATTACAGTCTCTTTGCCATTTGATCGCGGAAATCGGTATAGTTTTTCGCATATACATATGCATCTGTGTATATCTATGCTCGCCGTTTATAGTTTTATGTGCCCGTTGTCTTTTTTAATGCTTTCTATTCTACTTTTTCTGCGCAAGCGCGTGCATTCGCCCATATTCATTCAACCGCGTACTGTGATATTCTAAGTTAATCAGATGTATTTCAATAGGAAATGGATTACTTGGATGGCAATGACCCAGCTAAATGTACACCTAAATGTTAATGTCTCTATTCTGATTTGCATACATGCGATATTCAGTCTTAACACACGCGAATAATATTCATATTAGATGCATTTTGGCTAATGAATAAATATGATTGTATTTTTGCAAGTTTAATATATACTATTAATAATTAATTTTTAATGTAAAATAAGAGGACAAAACATACGCAATATTAATATAGTGCAGTATTAACTAGATTTTGCGAGAAGAATTTGCTTAAAATGATATTTGCGTCAATAGCTCTGTTATTATTATCACTTATTATAGATGCATGATGTACTATATGTGAATTAAGTTTCTTGATCTTAGAGATAAGAATTGTGCGTGTATGTATAATTTATTGCCTTTCTATAATACTACACGTGAATGTTTATTGTGTACATATGTTACAGAGTACAGAAAGTAAAATCAGAATGGAAAGTCGAATGCAATTAATTCCAAGCGTGCAACTCTCTTTGACACCAATGTAAGTAAAATCTTGACCTTCGAGAAAAGTAATTGATGCAATCTTATCTTCAAACAAATGCTACGTGCATTCAAATGCGAATGTATCTTTCGCAGAACATTGCGGATTTAATTTGGCGCGCGATATATCGCAAATCAAGATCATATATAGATTCTTATTACAGATAAGGATAGCACTATATAATTTTTGATTTTAAATGCATTAACACTGTTCATATTTATGATTCAATATCAAGCTATATTAATAATTACTGTTTAAAGGGCATTTTCTCCCATAAATACTTATATTTATAGAAAAAGTAATCGATACTTGTAGCATCGAACGAAAGTGTATCTCTCAATGCTTTTAACTTATCGTTTAGAATATCGAGATGAAAGTATCGAATATCGCAATATCGTTGGCATCCTGACAACAACAGTGGCACAATGGTATATCCGCCGTGCGGAGTGCGGAGCATGAGTGTAAGATCGCAGAATTCATAATTCCCGACGTGACAATCGCATATCATTCGCATCGATCACATCTTCTCGATTAACAGTGGATGAAAGTGCTCGCTTATTCTTATATATTGTAAGCATTCCCTTGTATTATAAGTAACACCGATGTATGTACTTGAACTGTCATATGTATTTCAGTGAGTTGTAAAAATGTGGATTTTGTCTTCGTAACGAATCAAAACTCGAGTGAGCGATTTTAGACCTGTGTGTTTGACGTGTCGGCTGCTGTGCACGTGTTCGAATCTCAATGTCTCAAATCATTTAGCATGTAGATCTTATTAGACTCGTTAGATAGACTGTGCGTTCTCATTGGAAGCAAAAAAATCAACACTGATGAGGAAAAACAATAGTCCATATTTTCCTCGGTCGGCTCTGCAATTATAGTTGATTTCTTGCCTTCAGGAAAAGTGCGTAGTCTCTATTAATACAAAACATGATTTATGTATTTATAATACGATGCTTTTTTATACTAATAATTGCTGGTCTTGGATGTGATAGAAAAAATGTTTCACCTCAGCATTTATAAACAATTTCTGATTGCTAATACATCATGTGTTAATAATACTGCTAGTGAAAGAAACATGGTATAAACCAAGAGCTTAAAAGTTTATAATCTAGCATTATTTTATTGTTAGTTCGCATTCATAATCCGTTCTTAAATTTAATATCGTCTCAAGTAAGGTCCGAAAATGTCATACGGCTATTTTATTAGCTAGATAGAATTTTAAGATAATCTAAGATGACCTTATAAATACCTATATAGGCCTTAGATGCAACATTGCACTTCAACATGTCACTTTAAACGCCACTTGAGTTTTGATGATACATAAAAGTTTACGGTTCCTTCTAGTGAGAGTGATATTAGATTATAATATTTTATTTCTCTCTATTATATATAATTTATATATTTTCCCCTTGACATGAATATATTAATTACGTGAGTGTTAGTGAATATGCAACTGCAAAATTAAGTAAATTTCGAGAAAAAGGTTAGGTGAGAGAGTAAACAAATGTTATTTTACACTCATGGCCCATGGCACACTATTAATTATTGATAATGAATTATTGAATTATATGAGAAATTTTAATGTAATTTCTTTAAATTTATTTTCAGCGATAAATGATTGACAATGACAGAAAGATAATTCAGCGTTCTTAGTCTTAGGCAGTGGATGGCATATCACGGGAATACGAGTCACATACAAACGATATATGATTAATATGAATCATTTTGATATTGATTCATACATGTTGAAAGAGTTTTAGGCCATTTTTGAAAAATGGGCTCGTGTGAGTTTATTTATATTATAAATTATATCTCATAATTATTTCTTTTTCAATTATTCTCTTGATAGATAACAGATGAGATTAATTATTTAAGAAAAAACAACAATACACACACACACACGCATATATATATATATTTTTTTTTTTTTTTTAATTGTACTGACTATTATAATCCATTCTAGTTAGAATTACTACAGCGGACAGTCTCGATTATCGTTACATACCCATCACTAAAAACAATGTTAGTTTAGGCATTAAAGCCAGCCACGATGCAAGGATTGCTTTACGGACACATCTTGGTGGTGACTCTAATGTGTATGAGGTATGTTACTTTATTATATTTTTACTTTATATTTTTGTCTATCTATATATATTATATATATATACATATATTATATGTATATTTTATACGTGTAAACCATTAAAGGAATTTTCTTATTATATAATATTAATTTCATCTTTTATTATAATATTAATTTGTCTTGCCTTAGATTATTATTGGAGGATGGGGAAATACCATGTCAGCAATAAAAAGAAATAATACCGAACCAGATGTAGCAGAAGCAGATACTAGAGATATATTGAAACCTGATGAGATATGTGATATTTTTATACAGTAAGAAAATTATATATATTTTTATCCTGAATGAAGTTAAACTAAGTCTAAAAATTATATTTGTGTCTCGGTTTAATCTCTAGTTTAATCTGTTTTAGATGGTCTTGCGATGGATTATTAAGTGTTAGTCGTGAGGATGATTTTGACATGCCATTCCTGACTTATAGAGACAGAAACCCTTTTGTTATAAATTATATAGGAGTTAGTACAGCTTGGGGTGCAACTGGACAATGGATAATTGAAGGTAAATTAATTCATTTGTGCCATCATAGAAACTTTAAGAACTCTTTCAGTTATGCATTTTTAAGATAGAAAATAGCTAAACAGTATAATCAAATATAGATATCTTAAGTTTAAATTAATTAATCAAAATGTTGCGCAAAAAATTGTCTTATAAATTCTTCAAAATTTACATTTTGCTATGCTATCATCAGAATGCCACTTTACATCGCCAGCCATCAGGCAGCAATTGGTGGATACGTGCCACTTCTGGGTGAACTTCAACGAAGCTCTTGGATTGCCACCAAACGCGGTGATGGCTTCCGAGGATGGTTTGTACGTCGGTCGGGCGCATCACCAAAGTACCGTGACACCAGGTGGCATCCGCGACAATATCTGCATGCTCACGTGGGGCGGCGAAGCCCACGAGAAACGCGAGTTTCAAGTATTGTGCGGCAAGGACGTGAACTGGGTGAAATCTTGGGAGGGTAGCGTGCCTCTGCACGCCTTGCCTGCCGGCGAAACCGAGGATGGTTTCGCTCTATTTATCGGCAGGGTGCTACACGAGGGCATTTACCACATCGGAAAGATACAACCGAATCACCAAGTGTGTTACATACCGCTGAACGGCCAGGAAATACCCTATCTGGAGTATGAAACTTTAGTTATACACGACAACTACGGAGTCGAGTGTATCGGAAGATAAAGCGACTTAGGGACAGAGCGTATTTATTTTTCCATGAGACATCGAAAAAATATTTTCTGTACGCTATAGTTAAAGATGCGATTCTCTCTGTAAGATCTTTACAATCATGCGTATACATACATAAAGAATAGAACTTGTCTTCTTTTATAGATACATTTTTTTCGAGTTAAAGCATATAAAAAGATTGAAGAATGTTTTTTGCTATTTTTCATAAAATAAAATTAACGTAATCTATGTGATTTCAATTGAAATGATAAGAGAGGATTCAAATTGATACAAATGCAAAAACAAATTAATTATAATTCAGAACTTGATCAGAATTAGAGAAAATTATTTGCTGACATAAAAATTAGTTTACTATTTAAAATTGATTTGTAAAGATTAATTCACAAAGATTTGTTAATGACATTAAATTTCTTATTAAATACGTTAGTGCGTTTGTGTATACTGAAATAGCAATTGCATGTCATTTAACATCAAAATGATGTGCATTCGCTATCTGAATTGAAATCTGTATAAAAATATCAATAGAATAATTAACATTATTTAAAATAATGTTTTTCCATGTAATATTTATAAAAAAATCTCTATCTTAGGAATTTTGCTCACTATAATATTGCAAAATATAATTAACCTCATAAATGTTGATGTATAACTTCATATAATAATATAGTACAATCGTATGTAGATATACTTTTTAGTGAAATTAGTTCATTTTAACTGAAATTAGTAACAAAAAATTAATTTTATTTTTAATCCAATATATTTTTATATGTAATTGTACAATACTATATTATAATTATATAGCTACAGGGTTAATTGTATTTTACAATACTATTAAAATTATCACAATTCAAAGACACATATATTACTATTTTATGTGTAGAAAATTATCATAAATGGTGTGGATTATTCCATTTTTGTACATAAACGCCATAATGTACTTAAACCGAATTATTCTCAAATCTTTGTAAATTAAAATTTATTAATCAGTTGTAAACAGTTAATAAATGTTCTGTGTCAACTATAAAACTTATTACTTTGCTGAACATAAAAAAAGATTACTGATAAAAGTTTGTTATAAGTTATAACATCCTATTGTTATATTGTTATATACTATATATATTATAATAAGTACATAACTATGTATTATAATATTATTTTGACGTAATCGCGAAATTTACTTTTCGCATGAGTACAAAAATGAAGATATTTAAAATATTCTACAAAATACTATTAAATCATACTAATTTATAGATTCTTTAACAGTATGTAAAGTTAATTATATGTATTTTTTTAATTTAATGACTACTCAGGGTTTTACAATTAATCCTCAAATGATGGCCAATTTAAAACGTAAAACACAGAATCGTAATATTTTATCTATAATATTGTGATATGATAATAAACGAGTGGACAATGGAATAACTTGAACCAAAAGAAGCATTTGCATTTATTTAGATTAGTATTAATGACAAGAATATTCTCTATAATGTACTATATAGTATTTAGTAGCAAATGCTTCTATTTGTATTAAGCACTTTTTTGCTAGATATGTGCTCAGTTGTTGAACACGCACATAGAATGTAATGTTGTTATTATAAGCAAGGCTGCACAAGCCCTTCTCCTACAGAATAATATAATTTATTGTAGGTATTATTTCAATAAGAGCATTCTCTATTTTTCTGCTTTTATTGTTTGTGTATAAAGATATATGACTTGTAATATAAAACATGTAATGATATGAAAATGTAAATTTTTATAAAATATGTATCGCAATGATTGTCATCTAATTATGTACTGATAGAATAGCACAATTTTTATGAAATTTCTAATCATGTAATCAGTTCAAACAGTCTTAATTTTTTATTGTTGAAAAATTATAAAAGACAAAAATGTGTGAATATAGTTTGAAACTTGAAACTTTCTTTTATATATATATATAAGCTTAGCAATTCTTAAGAAAGAATCCTTCATTAAAGGCAAGCAGGTATAGCAAGTGAGTTTTCTATATCTATTATAATTATATATATCAGAATATTTTGCATAATATAGGACTGTTATATATTTTAAAAATATTAGAAAAATAGGAAAAAATATTTAAAAACATTTTACTTCTGTGAACATGTGATAGAAATATAAATTTTTTCGGATGAAAATATCTTTTTGAATATATAGATATACTAGATAACTCTGTATATTCCATAACTGTATACTATAATACATAATGCAGTAATATAATATTTTGTTAATATATATCATTGTTACATAAATTATTAAGTTGTTAAAGCGTATAAATCTTCCCATTCTATATGTTATAATAGAAATTATATTAATTTTCTCTGATATTATATTTTAAAATTAAATTCATGAATTTATCATATAGTGTAATGTCTGTTTAATTATTTGAAAACAATGATATAATTATTTTTGCTAAATATGCAGTAGCACTGTTACGTTTAATATATGTTATTTAATCGTAAATCATTATTCTTAAAGATTTAACATATTTAATTAAATTCTTGATATCAGTATCTAATAAAAATAAAATTGTACAACTTTAATAAATAACTATTAGAAAAAAAGAGAAAAGCATTTTAAATATGCAATTTATAAAAAAAAATTATTGAAAGAAATATAGGTTCTGTGAAAAATATTTTTACCTAATTGATTGAAATATTTTGATTCTTACAAATATAGAACAGTAATTAAGTAGCTTATCTGATGCGACATAATATGTTATCATTGATCAATTTAAAGATAACTACATATATAAATTGATTGGACTAATTACATGATGATTATGCAAATAAATCATTAATAAAATTTTGCATGTGACAAAAAAAAATACATGTGTTACAAATATTTTATTCATAGTATTTCTTCCCCTTTCTCTCAACAAATGTTCCTTATACCAAAATTCATTAAATATATATATATATACATATATATATATATATATATATATATATATATATATATAATATATTGTTATTAATTGTGATAAATGAAAACCTCACTTCAAGCCAACATGTATCGATGATTAGAATGTATATTATAAAATGTTTACATTGTCAAAATCACTTACATTTGCTGAATATTCCGGTAGTTTCTCTTTAATCCTTGCACTTGATATATCCATCTTACTCCTTTAAAGATGTCCCTCTCACTCTCTCTCTTTGCCCACTTCGTTATCACTATAATCACACACAAAACACATCACAAACACTACTACGTATTTCGCGAAACGAATTCTAGCGATCTATCACTTATTTGAACGCAATTTCGGCGTGCGACATCGATTTTCGATAATTATTTAAAGCAACTATTCACTCACGAATTGCACAATTTAGCGACCGGTTATTAACTGACTCGGAGCTTCGAAATACGCGTCGCTGATTGGTCGAGAGTTCACCCGCGCTTCTAATCTATTTCAATTTTATGTCGAGGCATTTTACCGTATCCTAAAATTATCTTTTTTACTCGGAATGGAAATAAATCAATGTTCGAATAATATTGTGGGTGATATTAATAAATAGAATACATGATAATTATTATTATTATACTGCCGAATGTCTATCGAATTCCTATCAAGGATTAATGTTGATTTAATTATTCGCTGAATTTACATAGGAATAAGGGTTATAATCGCGCGCCATAGGCATGCGATTATGATCTTTTAATATACAAAAGTGAAGAAACACTCAACGTTTACAAAGACAATAATGTGTATATGCTCTTTCTCTCTCTCTCTCTCTCTCTTTATAAATATGTATATAAGCGCAGACATTTTTATTTTTTATTTTTTGCAACTTTATGTTAAAAATTGGTTATTATTTAATGACATTAATCAGTATAATCAATGTAATTTTATTAATTTATAATGTAAAAAATACGCAAAAAAACAAAAAATTAAAAGTAAAAAATTAAATTATCCTATATTAGATTCGTTTTTGTTTTATTTTGTCGAGACGAGGGGGAGAACTGGACTCTGGACAAAGGTTTATTGAAAATCTATATCATATATGTCGAAATCGTGTTCGAATAAATGAATAAAATCATTAAAATTTATTTCAAATTACATGATAATATTTGTACATTGCACGCATAATTTAGTGACGAATGATTAAAAGAAATAAGAGCTACGTACGTTTCTGAAAAAATTAAATATAGTTGAAATATACGTATAATTCTTTAGCATATGACAAAAGTGAAATATCTCTCACAGACAGCTTTTTCAATAAATTTCACGAAGAAAAATGTCCATAGGGCAATTGCTTTGCATATATTCCTCGCAAACATTCATAACTTAAATTCATTGTCAGGGTCGCATATGTGTGTATATATATATTAATGAGTATATAACAAAAAGTAATTCACGAATAAAAAGAATCAATCATTGTTAATAAATATATAAAAAATGTATAATGTATAAGATTGAATATCATGTTGATAAAATAAATTCAGCTTTAAGAAAATTATTATATATGTATACTTATAAATTATTTTTTATTTTATTCTACTTATTTATTTTAATTTTTATTAGTATTTATTTATGGACATAAAAGCAGGTAAAGAAAGATGAAATAAGATTTTAGATTATAGATTTTACATTATAGAGAATTATATAATTAGTTGTTCTCTCGTGATATTAAAATTTAACATACTTAATCGTTTTGTGCATCTAAATTGCTTTACAAATTCGATCCTGGACGTCCTATGCAATATTCTAACGCGAATATAATGCATTCTTTGTTTTTGACGTTTCTTGACATTTTTCCAAATGAACCAGACGCAGATGAGACTTTACAAAGTTGACATGTGAAATCGAGTACGAATGAGTGAAGCATGTCTTGCTCATCGACGATGACAGACGTATTGAAGATGTTGCGCGATTTATAACTTTGTCTTTAAGTAGGGGTGTGTTCCTTTTGTATATAAGATACGCTAAACAAGAAGCTGTTGTCAATTAGATCGCAGACTGTCGAGCCGCGAGTAAGCATAAAGTTTAAAAGAAATCTTAAAGTGAGTTTCTTGCAATAATAACATACATAAAAAATCTTTCGTATTTTAAACAAGAGAATGCTTTTAATTTGTAATACTGCACTACTTTTCGAACAATGACTATTATTGTATTTTTATAATAATAATATATATATCAGACACATAAAACTCTCTATTGTAAACACGTTCAAAATAATAAATAATATATATATATATATATATATATATATATATAAGTATTCTTACGCAATTATCTATGCAATTACGGATTGTACAAATTTTCTTATGTGTGCATATAATAGATTAAAAGAAAAATATTATTGCATATATATTATATGCATGTTAAATCGTTATTAATATATTACTTAAAAAAAGAAAGAAATAACGACAAGAACAAAATAATTAATATTTTTCAGCATTATATCACTCATCTCTTTTAACAATTATTGCAGCATGCGTAGAAATTCGCTATATCTTCTGCTGTTGTTCATCATCCTAACAAAAGCTCATGTAAAGTCTTGCAAGTACTGGTGCAAAATGGGCCATCATCGATACTATTGTTGTCCAAGCGGAAAAAGTGAACATGAGTGGCATTCTTCATCGGAACATGGATGGCATTCTTCATCGAAACATGGATGGCATTCTTTTTTATTTCCATGGTTTTGGTTTGGTATTGTTGGGTCACACGACGCACATCCTTGGCACGAAGTCGAGATGAAGCCAAAAAAACATTGTCCACCTTTGAGAACCTACTGTCCCAGAATGATGTACGATTGGTACAAGCCACCTAAAGTTTGTGACAGCGATTCTGACTGTGAAAAAGAAGAAAAGTGTTGTTATGATGTGTGTTTGGAACATAAAACATGCAAAACCGCGGAATAGAGTTTGTTATTATCGTGATTTCATGACCTGATACTGCTAATTCTGAGTGCGATTTCGCTGTATTATTAATCAATTTTAACTTTTCTAATTTTGCTCTTTATTAATTTCTTTCTTTTAATTTATGTCGATCTAGATCATGTGTTTTTATTAATCCAAAAAATGACGAATAAATTGTATCTAAATTATCATTAAATAATATTATATAAAAAATAAATTAATTGAATATATAAATTATTATAAATAAATTAATTTATATTATAATATTATTATGACAGTATTATCATTTGCATAACAATACTCTTAAATAAATACACAACGCAATATGCTCTATATATATATGTTACACATTAATTTTTAAAACGTATTTGCGAGAAATATTATGGAATCATTTTCTAGTAAGTGCGAATATCATTTTACACAATTAATTAATTTATATAATTAAAAGTATATCGTAAAATTAAAGATTACATCTAAAAATATTTGTATCTCGTTTTAATTTCTGATTTAATTTGTGTTTTATGCATGGTCTTGCAATGGATTATTAAAATATGATTTTAACAAATTATTAAGGCATGATAATTATTAAATATATATATATATATATATATATATATATAATATATAAAGCAAATTAAACTAGAGATTAAAACAAGATAAAAATATAATTTTTAGACATAATTTTTAGCTTTATTTAAGATAAAAAATATATATATATATTATATAATTTTCTTACTGTATTACTATAAAAATATCACACATCTCATCAGGATTCAATTAATATATCTCTAGTGTATCTGCTTCTGCTACATCTGGTTTGGTATTATTTCTTTTTATTGCTGACATAGTGTTTCCCCATCCTCCGATGATAATCTAATCTAATACAAGACAAATTAATTTTGTAATACAAAATAAAATTAATAGTCTATAAGAAGAATATTTCTTTAATGATTAATATTATATAAAATAATATATACAGATAAGTATATATAGATATATAAATGGATGATTAACATATTATTTATATATATATATGTATATATAAATATAGAGTAAATATGTAATAATAAAGTGACATACCTAGTATACATTGAAGTTCAAGATGTGTCCATATAAGGCAATCCTTGCATTGTGGCTGGCTTTAATAGCTAAGTTAACATTGTTTTTTGTGATGAGTATGTAATCAAGACTGTTCACTGTAGTAAGTTTAATTGAAAGGAATTATTTGTCAGTACAACTGAAAAAATATATATATCACTGTTTTTTAATTATTAATCTGATCTGTTTTCTATCAAGGAAATAATGGAAAAGAATATGTATAATTATGAAATATAAATTAATAAATATAAACTTACTTGGACTCATTTTTTAAAAAACCTAGAATTTTTTTGACATGCATGAATTAATATCAAAATAATTTATATTGATCATATGAAGCACATTTTATTCGTATGTGACTCGTATCCCCGTGATGTGCCATTCACCGCCTGGACTATAATAATTGTAAGACTGCCAAATAATCTTTCTGTCAAATTATCTCTCATTTATCGCTGAAAACAAAAGAAATATTAAAATTCCTCATATAATTCAATCATTTGCTATCAATAATTAATAGTGTGCCATGCGAATGTATAATAACATTTGTTTACTCTCACCTAACCTGCTTTTTCTCGACACTTAATTTTGCAATAATAATTATGTTTTCAATATATTCAATAATCACATAATCAATATATATTCATCTCAAGGAAAAAATTATATAATTTATATAGAAATTTATATAAAATTATTTGTTACATAATATATATTTATAATAATCGCGTTTTAATAATTTGTATAAATCATGCATATTTCAATGAATTATCACATGATATATATATAATAGACAATATATATTTATATATTGTATATATATATATATATATGTAAATTTATAATAATTATTATCCGTTTTAATATAAAGTCATATTATTTTAATCATTTTCGATCATTACGTCATTACGTACAAATACGGAACATTTATGAAATCATCGATAATTTATTTAAAATTTCTGCTGTTCGCGCGCAAGTTAGTACCTAAAGATGTCGCAAGAGGACGCGAGTATCAAGTTTTGCGCTCATTTCCCGCGTAATTTCACCTTCCTCTTCTTCCGCCATATTCAAGTACATTGGAGTACATTGTACATGTCGCACTTAAGATCGGGGGTGTTGTACGCTTATTAATTGTATTCGGGTTAATGTGATTAGTCTGCGCGTAATCATTATTAACTGTTTTTACGTGAGCGCTTCATTATAATGAATTGGTTTCGTTAGTGAATACTATGAAGAAGCAACAACAGGGAGATAACAGTGGAGGGTCATGATGAAGGTGGAGAGGAGGAGGAGGAGGAAATCCAAACCGGCATCACGTAACTGCAAGGTGAATAATTTTATTACTTTTTTATGTATTTCTTATTATTTGCAAACATATAAATAAATAACATTTTAAAGAGTGTAGTATAAATTATTTCTCGAAATATATTAAATATTGCTTTAAAATTTAGATTAAATATAAATATATATTTGCATATTTTACAGATCAACGTTGTGTAACTTTTACTGTTGCGTATTTCACCGATGTGAGTTAAAAAGGTAATGATTTTGGGAAAATTATGAAACATATATATGTGTACAAAATGTGTATAAGATGACAATATATTATAGAAACGATTCGAATAACTTGAAATATTTTAATTATGATATAAATGTTTGCATTTAAATTTGCAATATAATATATGCAATAGATAAATGCTTATATTTATTATAACTTATTTTTATTAATTATTATTTGACATTAGAAGTTATTTTTTATTTTAAAATTATTTTAAAAATCATTTTTAAAAATAAAAGTATAAATTATATATAAATATATATATATATATATATTATAATATATTTATTCAGATAGCCATAGTAATTATTATGACATCAAAATGATGCATTTTGACATCAAAATGATGTCATAATAATTACTGTGGCTATCTGGGTAATATATATTTTTTGTAAATTGTGGCTTAAAATGTATATATAATAAGTATAGGACAAAATAGGCTCAATATTTAATATATATATATAAGGATAATAGATCAAAAGAATTGATTACAATGTAATTTTGTACAATCCAATCATACTCGAGCTGTTTTTTTATGAAGAATAAATGATGAAATTAATAATATATATATATATATATATATATATATATATATATATATGAAAATATATGACTATGTCGAACAATATATACATGTGTAAAGATGCAGATATACAAATAATTGGATATTATTTTTGTTTATGTATTATTGATCAATTTCGTCATTTATTCTTCATAAAAAAAACAGCTCGAGTATGATTGGATTGTACAAAATTGGATTGTAATCAATTCTTTTGATCTATTATCCTTATATATATATTTATCTTTGTACAAGCATTTCAAGACTAATATAGCTTTCACAAAGCAATATCCACGCAAATATACAAAATTAGAGCACAAAAGATCGCTTATTTCTTTTTTCTTTTTACATATAAAATTCGAATAAAAATTCTAAACGCAACCTTATCCGGATAATGTTTCTTTTGTGGATTACAGGCACAAACATGCGCCGATTCATCAATAATGAAAAAATGTTGACCAGATGGGAGCCGCAGGCCTTTGAATTAGGTTCCGGCCCGCCCACGTCCACTTTTAACCCTCGTAAGATTCCAAGGCCTACGGCTGGGTCCGGCACACGCGTATAATTGGGCAGAAATTCGTCCGATCTGATTATTTCAATCTTGCGAGCTTAATGGGACCCAAGGGCGCCAAAACAATTTAGATAAGGCCCGTTGGAGTGCGCGTAACAGATGCCATGCAATCCTAAGAGAAGGGCTCGCGGCCTTCCAGGTCCGTCCGACTGTTTACACCATTTGGGCCTTCTTAATTAAGTGAGTCCCCGATGACAAGCCGATAAACCGAAAGCTAAAATAATAACTACAAAAAATTCCGCAGTATTTGCAGATAAGAATATTATAATATTAAGTAACTAGAATTATATACTTTTATATATTTTATATATTTAAAAAAATTTTAAATATTTATATGTGTAGATTTAAACTTTTATATTTAAATAATATGAAGTGAACAGTCTCTTCTAAAATGAAACAAGAAGCTTATTTTATAAATCTTAGATTATATATTATGATAAAAAAGATATAAGTACAAAAGAGATTCATTGTGCTCTAAATCTGGCATGTCAAATAAAATGATTATTATTCATAAATTTTCATCTATTTACAGATATAAAAGCGAGCGGGAGATCAACATAAATTAAGTTTCCGAGTTACCAAAACGCGGAGCGTCTGTCATTGGTCGGAGATTCCTTGGTAAACACTTGCTCTTTCATTTCGGATATTAGCCGGCCTGCTGAAGACGAGCCACTTAATGGAAGAGAGAAAAAAGAATGAAAGAGAGGAAAAGAAAAGGAAAGAGAATAACAAAAAAGGGAGCCAGAAAGAGAAAATAAGTGGCAGGTGCTCGTGGTAGATATGGCATACCACCGTTGCGGATCTTTGTCGGCCAATACTTACCTCCCGCGTATTTCCAACTCTGTTGAAACATCTTTTCTTCGAGCTTTCTTGCCTGAGTGACTTCAAAAGAATTTTGTCATTACAGGTTATTTTTTAAATATTTTTGTAGATTTTTTTAACATGCCAGAAAAATTAAAAAACAAAAAAATTAGGCCGTGTCCAAGTAAAAATTTGGTGCCTTGTGCACAGGTATTTAATTCTAACGAAAAAATTTAGTTTCGTTTAGAATAACGCACTGTCATCCGCGATTTGGCTCTTATTGCCTATCTTATATATGTTAAATTTATATTTATATATTAGAGAGCCTAGTTAAACTCTTAATTTATACACGCTGGCTTAAAGGCGTTTATTTACCAACATTAATATATATAACAGAGAAAAGTATAGAATCGAAAGGATCTGAATAGCTCAGTTGGAAGAGCAGTCGCCCGGCAAGCGAAAGGTCTCGGGTTCGATTCCCGATTCTGCGACTTTCGGATCTATATTTTTCTCTCGCACTTTATTTCTTTAGGGGGAATAGGGGATACATGGAATTAAAAATCTCTTGTAGAGATTATTCCAATTTTATATCTTGGCCGTGTCCAAGTAAAAATTTGGTGCCTTGTGCACAGGTATTTAATTCTAACGAAAAAATTTAGTTTCGTTTAGAATAACGCACTGTCATCCGCGATTTGGCTCTTATTGCCTATCTTATATATGTTAAATTTATATTTATATATTAGAGAGCCTAGTTAAACTCTTAATTTATACACGCTGGCTTAAAGGCGTTTATTTACCAACATTAATATATATAACAGAGAAAAGTATAGAATCGAAAGGATCTGAATAGCTCAGTTGGAAGAGCAGTCGCCCGGCAAGCGAAAGGTCTCGGGTTCGATTCCCGATTCTGCGACTTTCGGATCTATATTTTTCTCTCGCACTTTATTTCTTTAGGGGGAATAGGGGATACATGGAATTAAAAATCTCTTGTAGAGATTATTCCAATTTTATATCTTGGCCGTGTCCAAGTAAAAATTTGGTGCCTTGTGCACAGGTATTTAATTCTAACGAAAAAATTTAGTTTCGTTTAGAATAACGCACTGTCATCCGCGATTTGGCTCTTATTGCCTATCTTATATATGTTAAATTTATATTTATATATTAGAGAGCCTAGTTAAACTCTTAATTTATACACGCTGGCTTAAAGGCGTTTATTTACCAACATTAATATATATAACAGAGAAAAGTATAGAATCGAAAGGATCTGAATAGCTCAGTTGGAAGAGCAGTCGCCCGGCAAGCGAAAGGTCTCGGGTTCGATTCCCGATTCTGCGACTTTCGGATCTATATTTTTCTCTCGCACTTTATTTCTTTAGGGGGAATAGGGGATACATGGAATTAAAAATCTCTTGTAGAGATTATTCCAATTTTATATCTTGGCCGTGTCCAAGTAAAAATTTGGTGCCTTGTGCACAGGTATTTAATTCTAACGAAAAAATTTAGTTTCGTTTAGAATAACGCACTGTCATCCGCGATTTGGCTCTTATTGCCTATCTTATATATGTTAAATTTATATTTATATATTAGAGAGCCTAGTTAAACTCTTAAAAAAATTAGGATTTTTCCAATAGATAATAAATATATATAGTAACACATTCTAAAATTTTTTAAAATAATTTTATTACTAATATAAAATAATCTCAAATAAAATTTATTTAAGCAAATTTTAGTAAAAATTACTGAAAAAAATATTAATTATAAGAATATGCTTGATGTAAGCCAAATTTAAATAGATTTATGCAAAATAATTTTGATAATTTTTAGTATAAGAAATATTTAGTATGAGAAATGTAATCATTTATTTACTTATATATAAGAAAATAAATGATTAAATTTTTCACATTATCTATTAATAGTTGGATAATATGATGCAATAGCACGGTCAAAATTCACTTCAAAGATTATTTTAATATAATACCAGTTTAATAATTGCAGCATTAAAAATAATGTTTTTTATGTAATTGCAGCAGTAAAGATGACGATGCAAGAATGATTGCAATTAGCGACTGTGACTAAAAGCTTGGATAATTAGCTAACGATTTTTCAATGACATTCGCAAAATCTGCAAGATAATTAATCTGCTGATTATATAGCAGAGATAATTTTTAAAAAATTTTGAGCTATGATTATATTAAATTTAGACATATGATTATATTAAATTTAAACATATCTTTATCTCTGTAGATCAAAGATTATTTTCTTATTTCTTTATAAAGATTTACATTTTAATTAATTAAAAATGTGTGAAATATATATGAAAATATATGAATTAATATATAAATCGTATGCGAATAAATAATTATCAATATAACATTTTTTGAAGAATGAATACTTTTGAAAGACTATATCTATATATATAAGCACCGTCCGTCTGTCTGTCTGTCTGTCTGTGCCCGAACTACTTCCGCATTTGTGGACCGATTGTCTCGAAATTGGTACCAAAATGTTGCAAATTTTTCGGGGGTGGCTGCTGTGGGTTTTTTTTTTAATTTTTTTATTTTTATTTTTTTTCCTCAGAGGAGGGTATGTTTTTGCAAAAAAAAATTTTTTTTGCAATAATTCTGAACACATGGTATCAAAATGTTGCAAAATTTTTGGAGATAGCGACGATGCGGTTTTTTTAAGTGTTACACCTCCACCCACGCATCCACCCACGCATCCACCCACACGCATGCGCATTTATGGACCAATTTTCACGAAATTAATACCAAAATGTTGCAAATTTTTCTGAGGAAACTGCTGTGTGGGTTTTTTAAGTTTACGCCTCCACCCACGCACCCACCCGCGCAATCGCATACTTATGAACCGATTTTTTTTAAATCGGTACCAAATTGTTCCACCCACGTATTCAAACATTTATTCACAGATTTTTTCGAAATTTGTACTCAAATTTTGTCCGGGATGGCTACTATATGATTTTAACAAATTTTTATTACTTTATTTATCCACCCACGCACCCACCCACGTATCCACGCACCCATGTGCATAAAAATAAATATAAATAAAATAAAAAAAATAAATAAATAAAAATAAAAATATATAATAAATATTTAAATATATGCAAAACGCGGTGTAAAATAAAATATCTGGGAGAAAGAAATAGATAACATAGTAGTCATCCAAAAAAATTTAAACATTTATTTTGATATAAATTTCGTGAAAGTCGGACAACAAATGTGGAAGTAGTTCGCGGTAATACAAAAAAAGAATTAATTTTTTGTGTTAAAACGGATTTAATATAGGCTATATGAGGACCGCGCGAAGCGCGGTCCGAATAGAAAGGCTTTGAGGACCGCGCGAAGCGCGGTCCGAAAAGCTAGTGTTTTATAAATTATTTAAATAACATATTTTAAACAACCATATATATCATAATACTTAAATTATCATATCAAATCATGTTAAATATTATCATAATATAACATCTATTTTCGACTTATATAATAGTATATAGACTTATAAAATAGTATTAAAAAATGATTTTTATACTTACACGTATCATTTTCGTAAATTACGATTTGTATATTTGGTTGTTTACTTGGCACATAATTAAAAACAATACGCTTTGTAAAATCAAAGAATAATTTTTTAACAAAACCAGAATTAAGATAATATTAGAAAACAAGAGCTATTACGAGAAACACGACTTTTTATACCGTAAAATTTGTTTAGGTTTGTGCAGGTTTGAACGTGAATATACAATACGAAACTCGAAATATTACAAGAATTTACCTCGCAATAGGAAGGAAGGAATTATGTTGTGTTGGTCAACTCTGAAGAATGATACTCTAAGGGGACCATGCATTCAATATTCACCAGCACTGTCGCTCTTGGGCCTTTGGCAGTCAGCTCCGAGAACAAGAAAGGATTGGCCACTGTTCGCTAAGGTTGTAACCTGCTACTGCGACTGTGTTAGGTAAGTTTTTAGTCTTACTTTTTTTTACGAATCTCCAGGACTTCGCATAAAGCATTTTGTAGTCTCATCGCGTTCCGTTATTGGAGCTAATTACGAGTAAAAGCAAGAAAACTGTTACTATCCCAAACAAGGAGAGAATCCATCAAAGATACAATAATCGTTGTCAAGCATAATGCGATAAATAATATGTAAATGTGTATACATTTTTACAATTATTAAGATTTACATTTGATCAAATATTTGTTTTATTATACATACAAGAAATCATTTTCTTCTCTTTTTTTCTCTCTGATAAGTCAGATTTAAATTTAAATTTTATATAGTCGTCGTACGTAATTTCCTGAATACTAACGAGTTACTTATACCTCCGAAAATCTTTTCTGAGAAATATTCAAAAGTTTTTCAAAGATGTTAATCTAGGAAAGACTTCTGAGTTCCGAGATAATATCTCGGTTCGTCCAATGAACATGTTATTTTTTTCCTTTAAGAAAGACAAAACATATTTATATATAAAACTATTTTTGATAATAAGTTTTTGTGTCAGTGTAGATGTTATCTTAATGTGGTTTTCTATAAGTCATAAAATAATATCTAAATCACCTAAATGTTTCAAAAACAGATTTAATATAGAGATAATATTATTTATTCCTTGCGACGTTTCATCACTATCACGATCAGGATTGCGAAGGAAACGTTTGACAGTGTTCAATGGATTGCGGGAGGAAATCCTTTGCCTTTATGGATTCCAATCTTGTTGTTCATTCATAACACATCGAAGGGGTTGAGGGAATGAGAATGAAACTGGCATCGAGGAATGAGAATGGAATCTGAAGCTCCCCTCATCCTCCCCATGTTCTATATGGATACGTCCGGTGCGTTCATTCACTGATCCCGTCCATTCATTCTACACCCAACATTGTTGCATCTAAACGTACCTGGGCCATTCGATTCAATCTTCCATAGACTTGCTATAATATAATATGCTATAATATGATACAATAATTTTTGTATCCATAATAACAAGAACTATTCCTCCAGCCTACTTTCTAGAAGATAAGAAAAGAATATAAAAGTAAAAAGTAAAAATATACGTAAAAGTATTTTACTTTAATTAGTACATATACATATGTCATAAATGTATGTGTATATTTATATTTTATTCTTGTTTATTAACAAAATATCTATAAGTTAAATACGAGAGATTCGGCATTTTACATATTAATATTATATTTTTATATTACGGGAAATAGGAGATAAAAAAACTCTTATAATTGTTTTATCATATTATAAATATTGCGCGATTGCTGGATTATTCATAAGATTTAATCATAGCTAGTCTTGAAATATTTCTCTCGCTAGACTATTTTTCATCGATAAATACAATTCCGCAAATATTTTTTCTCTAAAATGTGCATCACATCAGTGAACATTTCGGACATATACCGCATGATCAATCTTATTTTCCAAACCATTTCACGGAGCTGTCAGTATTTCGCTGGGTCGACTTTATTCAAACGGAAATTATAAATTGTTTAGATAATAGCTTACAAGCAAAATATGTTTAATCATAAAAGAAAAGTATGTTTATACAATTCCACGAACAAAAATATTTCTTGGAAACAAAATATCAATCTCTTCCTTTACAATTGTATATATATATAAAATTATAAAATTTTAAATGTATGTAATTATACATATTTTTAACGATTATATAACGATTATATCGTGATGAGACTACAATAACAATCTGTTTTGTATCGTTACTTTTATATATAATTAATTCTAATGACTTGAATTTTTTAAACATGTTGTTAAACATATACATATATTGTATATGTTATTACAAAACATTTATTACAACGTAATATAATTAATCTTTACAGGCTGTGGTTGTGATTTCTTGTCACGCATTATGATGATCAACGTGCGAAATGCGTATAAAAATTGGAGTGATTATATGGGTTCCCGGCGAATTACGGAGTACATCATTACTTGTAATCAACTACGCATATCAAACTTAATCGACATTTAAGAGGCAATTATAAGAGGTATAATTATTTACATTTTTGACAATAATGTGAAAGTTGCAATTTTTATTTTTTTGTATTTAAATTAAACTTAAAACTATTGATTATATATAGTTCGTCTAAAAATATATTTTATTTGAATTGATTGATAACAAATGTACTTTGTTCGCGAGTATTAAAAGCATGATAAAAAGATAAATAGAAAGATAAATAGCTGTAAAGGCTTTGGTTATTTCTTACTCATTGATTTCCACGTAATTTAACTATTTATAACTATGAAAATTCTTTGTGAGCAATTGGAAGCTATTTTAGTGTTGAAGACAAAGATTGTAAAGTTGATTATTCCGAAAGATAATATGCTGGAGAAATAAAATTCTTTATATCATTATTTGATTATAAATAGTAATTATTTACATTCTGTTATTGTATCTAATAATATGAATATCAAATAATATTTACCTACTTCTCAATATTAATCTTTACGGAAGAAATGTATTGTATATATAAATGTATAAATTTATATTATATATAAATTTCTATAAAACTTTCATCAATTTAATTTGTTAAATATACAATAACAAAGTTTGAATTAAATATTTTATTAATAATTTATATACATAAATTCTTTATCTTTACTGTGGATGACAGTGTTTAATAATATAAAATTTTACAGGTACACAAAAGCAAGAAAGAAAAAAGTTTTCGGAAACATCGGACGAACTCTTGATCCCAGCGCGTCGACTCCAATTCAGACATAATTGATGCGTCGACCGCACACGCGCTCAGTGCGTCGAAGTGGGGAGGCGGCGGAATGGGGTGACGGCGCCGGCCGGAGGAAGAAGAGCATTGGGAGGGGGATCAGTAGCGGCACGCATCTGACGCATCTATGTATACTGACGCGGAACTCGGAAGAGCGGTGTTCACATTCATTCGTCTGCGAGCCGCTGCGTCGTACGGTCGCGTTCTCCCCACAATCAATTGACAGCGTACGGTAGACAACTAGCCGGCTTTCTAACTCTATCATCCTCCCTTGCGAGAGGGATCGCTGATTCCCGCATGAGCTGACAGACGATCTCTCCTTTTCTTCGCACGAACTATCAATAGAAAAATAAAACTAAACGGATCGCTGTCAAGAAGACAATTTGGAGTGACAGTCGACGTTCTGTTATCGAAGGAAACCGGCGTGACGCCGCTCGTCGTCGGAACGGTATCCTGCACGCTTCTGCACGGCAAAATTAGCGTGGAAAGTGCCTGCACGCTTCGTTTCGCCTCGCGAAGATTGAGGAAAAAAGAGAACAGGAAACGGAACACTCGCAAGCTCGTAGACTGAAGTTTCCTTTTGAAAATCGCGCGGGTTTCACGCAATATCTCGCTGTAAATATCTCAACTGCGATTATAAGATTCGACCTTTTGAATTTGACTCGTCGCGTAGTGTTTGGAACTGAGACAGTGTGAGTTAAGTGTGCTGTGACAGCTGCGGAAACACTTCCGGAGAAAATGGAACCGATGAGGATCCTGTTGCTGATCGTCCTTCTGGGTGCCGCCAGCTGTCAAAGTGAGTACTTTTTTCAATATTCATGTATATATATATATGTGTATAAATACAAATCGCTCGAGTGTCACGTGCCGCCGAGGATTATTACACGATTAGAGTGTTTCATTCGATAAGTCTGCAAGTGTCACGTGTAAGCTCGCATACAGCGAATCGGGGGCGATCGATGCTTAAAGCTTGAGTCTTCCTTCAATTAGTGAGATAAATTGAGCACATCACGTAAATTCAAACACAATTTAACGAGTGATTTTTTGATATGGTCAAAATAAAATAACTCAAGTATAATTATATTATTACAAAATTTGTGTAGATTAAAATAATATTTAAAAGTAGTTTTAATTGAGTGCACATTTTATTTTCAATTTTTAACATAATTTGCCAAGAAAAAATGATATGAGTTTTCCTCGAAAAAAATTTACGCTAATCTCTTTTATCTTTATATATATATTTCCTTTCTTTTATATAATATATACTAAATTTACATTCAATACAATCAATATAATAATATAATAAATTAGTAATGGGATAAGTAGGGAATATCAAATTTATAGCAATATCGAAATCAATCACTTGCATTTACATGATGAGAGAAGAGAATTACTGTAAGTATTATTTATTTTTATATATAATTTATATATATTTTTGATTTTGTATGATATAATAATCACGTCGACGAAAAGATTTTATTTCTCTCAGCTTTCTAAAAAAATCTGTATTTAATTTATGCTTCGGAAAATGTGAAGCGTAACGAGATCAGTATTTGGTTCGCGATATATCGTCGACATTTCTCTGTGGGTTATCCATCGATCGATGTTAATTCACAGTAATTATCTCGAGGGACGTAGGATGCGTACGGAAGCGCCAGCATCGTAATTTACGTGGTAATGACACATTTTCGCTTGTGTTGCGGTTCAGTGAATCTTTTGTGAGAAACATCTAGGGGGGCTGTCCGATTTATTCTATCCAACAACGTGCCACTCCCGTCAGGGTATGGATACTTTCTTTTCGGTTTCGAGATATATCTACCCACTTCTTTCTCATCGACCAAACAAATTTTATTCATAGGAACGACGCTATCGCGGCGCATTCCCGTCAATTCTTTTTATTTTGTCATTATGGAATGCGCATTGCGATCAGCGCATATCCAGTACGACTTAATCGTCTGCGTCAGGATACCACTACGACTTAATTGCCCATGTAAAAAGAACCGTGATATGCATCAGCATTTTGTCAATTGAATAATTTAAACTCGAGCAGAAGCGATATAACTGAATAAATTCATCTCTCTTTCGATTATATCTAGAGGCATTTAATAAAATATAATTTATATATTCTACACTGAAAAAACATTTGTTAACTTGACTAAATCTTTCAACTAAATATTATTTTATTAAATGGAACATATAAAAATGTTTAAAATAAATATAACATTTTTTTAAATACTAATATATGTTCAATTAACAAAATAGTAATTTAGTTGAAAGATTTAATCAAGTTAACAACATTTTTTTTAGTGTATGAGCATGCGAAAAATAAACTTATGATATATAATTTATATCTTTCTTCTTTATTCGAAAATTTATTAGTTCAAAAATTTTTTATCTTTTAGATATTTAACTGCATTCTTGAAATAATTCATAATTTACATTTTTTAAATTAATCCATGACATTGATTTACATTTTTTAAATCAATCCATGACATTGAAGTTTTTTTTTTCTTATCAATGAAAGGCGACACGAGAATAATACACGCAGTAGTAATATATTTGCTTTAGAAAAGTCTGTAATTATGTAAACATGAGCTAACGGTACTGTAATTATCGCACTTTCAACGAGCGGTTTTGCTTAGCGAGTTCTTATTCGTCCCGCGTACGCCGTTAAAAGGAGTCTAGGCGTAAAAGAGCGGACATCGGTCGAAGTAGAAACGAAGTTACGAATGCAGATTGCAAGTCACGATCGGAATGTCACGGTGCGCACGTGGGTTGCACCTTACGTTGCACCACGGCAGTCGATCGAGACACTCCAATTCAAGCCTATAGAATCCGTTGGATCATTGTTGTGTATTGCAATAACTTCAAGATTGATTTTTGAATCATATAATCATTGAACGATTTTAATTTTTGTGTTTCTCAATAATTTCGAGATTATTCTTTAAACATTATGACCATTGAACGATAAGAAATTTTTTTAACACAGAAAGAGAAATATAATTCTTATACAGAATAATCCTGGAATAGCTGGATTTTAAAAATCTTCCACGTAATTTAAAAATAAAAAATATTACATAGATTGGGAAAACTTCTCTGAGTTATAAACATTTTCTTTTCCGTCACATAGTTTTCAAATTATTTGTATAAATTTAGATGTACATATTTTAATATACATATAAGTAAATTAGCTCTTTGTAAACGTATTTAAGAGTTAATACTTTTTTAATACTGAGAATTTTTTAATGAGTTTGATAGTTTGTTTTTCAAGATAACTCTTAAACATTTTTGTGATCTTTTCTAGTTTATGCAATTATCATTTAATTCTAGATTTATTTATTTATTTTTTAAACCAGTATATATACACATTTAAAATTAAAAAATCTACCTAAAAATAAAACATAAAAAAGATAATTTTTCACGTTTGTAGTCATATAGTTTTACTATTTAAAATTTTGTGTGTGATTATTTGAAAGAGTCACGAATTTCATAGTCTTGAATAATACAAAGAAGTTAAAATATCTTAGTATAGGGAATAATAAAGGGAATTGTTGTACGTGCTCCAAGTCCCTTAAGAAATGTCAAAGTGGAAAATCTCGAGGATTAAACTTTATACACATTTGCACGTTTCTTATTGTTAGAACGATCTGTGAAAGAAATATAGCTAGCGATATTATGAGATTTAGGGGCGCAGTGGTATATATTATAGCATTGTGAAATGGTGTTCACAAAACGAGGTATTTTTTTGAAGAAGCAAATCTGTATTGTTGTAGACCTGCAAAAATTTTAAAGGGACCTTTAGCACGAGCTGACTTGTCTCTTTCTCTCTTTTCTTTCTTTTTTCTCTCAACACGTTTAGACCTTAAAGAAATGCCGCATGTCTTTGTACTTTTGAGAGTTTCGGTAAAAGACTCGTTTTATCGTTCTATAAAGAAAATCCAGTGAAATATGTAGGAAAATCGAGGGAAGAATTGCTCTCTTTTATAAAGACGTTTCAATATCGCTATTATTATTTGGATTGAAGAACATCAAGTGCACTTTCGAGTGTAAAAGAATGCAATAAATATTTGGTTCACACAATGCAGTGATATTATTAGGTCAATTGTATAAATATTATATATTGTGATTAATTTTATTTGACAAGTTCAAAAATAAATATATAAAAAATTCAAGATATTTTTAAGATATTAAAATTACTTAAAATATATTAAATTATATACGTTTTGAAAATGTCAAAATATTTTTTATATTATTATATTTAATTATTGCATTACATAGTATCAAAAATATTACATCGCAAAGAGAAACTCTGTGTTTGAGTGAAAGACGAGAGAAATTAAAACGTAAATCAATCTTGCTTTTTTTCATTGACTTTGTAGATTCGTGTATTATATTCGAATTAATTACAACCTTATTTAACTAACTAACAACTGCCAAGGCTGTAGTTTGCGGTGAGAACATCGGCTTGTCAATTCTTCATCGGATTAAGTTAACGAGTCACGATCGCGGCATTTCTCACATACACGGTAGATAATCTTGATTCATATAAGATCCTGGGTACTTTTGTGATCGTAACCGCTCCAAGAAAGCCAAGTAAATTCAGAAAAAAATATATGATAAAAGTAATAATGAACATTCTTGAAGTGTATGTGTGTAAATTTTAATTAATTATTTTTACATTATTACTTTTATCTGTTATATTTAAAAAAAATTTTACATATAGATAAGATAAATTTTACGACTATAGATACGAATTATTAATCTAAATATATATAAAATCTTTATTAATGTTATAATAATGTGCTATAAAGAAAATCGAGAAAATATTGGGACAAACGTAACTTTGCCTGCACGAATATTAATAATTCTGTTGCTCGAGAGATTAGTCATGCTTAAGGCTCGTCTTCGCAGAACTCTCAGGTGATTCTGTACGCAGTAAGGTCTTTATCGGCACTCTTTGGCGACCAATGCCAATGTTTTCTAATTCAAGCTGCCTGATCTCATACCGCAGGGTGTTAAATTTACGCTTGAGTCGTTGGTCACCATTGACGACTTGTAATTCAATGTTCAATAACAGCAATTTTGTTTAAGACTATTTTAATCTTGAATGTTTATGTTGCACATTTAATTGCCCAAAATATGCAGGAATATTTAAGAATTCTCTCTATGGTTATTTATTAAACATATATATAGATGGATGGTTTTTAAATAAATATCAAAGAAAATAAAATTGATAGTATATTCTTAGAAGTGCTACTTTCATATTTTAGAATTTATACATAATAAATATATAATTACAATTAAATATAAATTTATATATTATTATATTAAATGTTTTACTTTTTCGTCTGAATTAATCATTTTCAAGTTTGATCAATCAGAATATATTTTGGCCTATGAATAATATACGAATATTACACAGATAAATATAAATCTTGTTTTATAAAATTATTTTATAAAATAAATATTAATTTTCACGTTTTCACTTTTCTTTCGATTGTTTCTTTTGTTGCATATATATACATATGAGAACAAAAATCGAAAAGATTCTATATTATTATATCACTTTTTTAACAAGCAATTCCGTTTTTCTGTCACGTATGTACAAATGGGCGGTAGCGATAATTCATGCCATGTATTTTTTTTCCTTGTGCCGCGATAGCTCGATAAAAATATTCGAACGCAATTATCATCGACACAACTTGGCAGAAGTAACTTTTTTTGTGATACATCGGAACGAGGTGAGGTTCTTACTCACCGCCGCCAACTCAATTTACACCTTTGCGCGTCCAAGCTCGGTAAAAAAGGGCTCTCGAGAAGCCATTAAGACGGACCCGAAAATGTTGCTCTTCGCGCGTGGGGACTCAGGTTATTTCGGTTCTCTCAGATCCAAGGGTGTATCAAGGGCGGCTGCAGCATGTTCGAAAGATAACGATTCGTTCTCCCGGCGATTGTCGACGATGACTCGCCGGCGAATTGGTAAAAGAGAAAAAGTCAAACTGTGCGACGTGTTAATATTTTAAGAATGTCGACGTAGGACATGGATGGTTACCTTGAATATCGATAGAAATATAAGATAAAGATTATCTTCTTAATATATATTCAATAATAATGTATATAATCTCTTTTCAATTTCTGTTCTCATGCATATCTATATATATTGTATAACAAATTGAGAGAAGAGTGAAAAGCATTGTAAGAAATATATTTATTTTTAAACAATTTCATAAGACAAGACGCATTTAATCATATGATACTCATAGATATACATTACTTGCATATAAACGATTAGATAGTCTTGTCGATCAAACACAAAGTCGAAAATTTTAAACAAAAGATTTAATCGTATATTATATAGATTATATTCATAGACGATAAAAATAATTTTGTGGATCCGGAAACAATGACATTTCGATGTTTTTATCATACGGTGCTAGATGAGGATAAAAACACGCCTATTCGTAAAGTAATCATTATTCAAAGTTAGAGAGGCCTCTCTTCCTCGTTGAGAGAAAGAATGAAACGATATCGCTGAGAGATCTTAACCAAATACCTGGCGGACACTGTAATTATTGGCTTCTTAGCAAAGAAATTTTGACCACCCGACCGTCTTCGAATGCGCCTAATCTCTTTTTAAATTGGATCAATTAAATAAGCCCTGTCAGAGGTTCGGTTTAATTGAGTGAGCGTGTCAAGAGATGATAACATCTTTGGTTGCAGATTTATAACGAAGTATGGTCGAGTGGTGTAGACTTAAAAATTTATCAAAGTTCTTTTTTAAAAATAAATTATAATATATAATCAAACATATTTATTTATATGCAAATTATTTGAAAATTAATATATACAGAATGCCTCAATAAACATTTAAAACACGTTAAATTATAGAAAATTGTAAATTATACATAATTGTTATCTGAAAATATCTCACAATGCTCTTTATTTTTACAATGGTATATGTTATATACTAATACGCGATTATGTTAGTGCGCGTATGTTTTTTACGCATTACAAATTCACTTTGACTAATCCTAAATTGATTATTGTATGTCCCCTTATAAACCTTCCAACAAAAATTTTTATTATGTCCAACATCTAAAAAAGTTAATTAAACATGAATAAAGATTAAATGTAAACAAGGATCTAATTATAAATTAAGAAATGAGAGATGTACATTTCTCTTCTTTCTATACACATATAATGTAATTTATTAATTCCTTGTCAATTTACAAATATATTAATAACTTAAAATTAATAGAAATAATAAATAAGTTTCAACCTTTTCAGTTCTTATTTCGATGACGTAATGATGTGTTTTACAAAACTTGTAATTTGGTAGAGAATCATGAAGACAATTTGGGAAATTCTCGTTGTTTATGTAAAAACAACGTGCATTTTCTAAATTATTCATGACGCTGTAAACAATTAAAATATTACTTTAATCATATGAAAATTTTTATAATAAAAAATTATATATGTATGCGTATAATAAAAAAAGAAAGATTATCGAGAAATAATGATAATGTCGAATCTAATATATATCTATACTTACAATGTTGATTTCCAAAATATATAGTTTGTAGTGTAAACATCTATTAGATCGCAACGTAGACCAAATCTTCTAGCCACGCTATTAAATATTGTATATACAATGATATCTTGACCAAATTTACTTTGTAAAACCTGTGCCAGGTATAATACAGAACAAATTGATCAAAGCAAGAAAATATTAAGAACAATATATAATATATATGGTACATATATGGCTCATAATTATATATATTATAATCTCTAATAACTTACATAATCTATACACCAACATTTGATATCTTCGGATGAGGAGCTACATGGTCGAAAATTCAAAGTGCCAAATATATATTCCTGGAGTGTATCCATAATCTGCGTACTTTCTGTTTCGTCCCAATGATTATTTCTGATATTGTTGGTTTTCCAATAGGAAAAAGTTTCACGAGACGTGGAAAATATCGAATGGTTCGGATGCTTCTCCCTGAGACGATTCTGTACCTCTTGTGCGATTGTATCCAATGATGCACTTACATTCGTGTAACATACATGTACATCTTTTCGAACTTGAATATATTTCGACAGGAAAGTACATGTTTCTTCCAAAAGCTGTTCTCTTTCAGGTTTCTCTTTATATCTGTCCAACTCATTTCGTATCGAAGATAGCTTTTCATAGTGAGACATTTCTATATTGCAATATCTTTCGATTGATTTGCGATCAATTTCTCTCTAAAAAATTTATATATATTGAATTATTAACTAATGAATAAATACATGGATGTGTGTTTGATGTACACGAAACGTTTTCCACGCTGTAGACGTTCTGTTCTTTATTATTAAATTTGACCTCAAATTTTAAAGCCTTATTGCTTGTTTTCACTAAGATATAGGTATAAGGACTTGCCACGGCATGCGCAGAAAATGTAATTTAGAACTAGCAAATTTACCATTTCTTTCTATGCACTTGAAAGATAGAACGTGGTAAATAATTCATTTATTATTTATTTTATTATCACTATTTATTTATTTATTGTTCTTTTTATTATTTAAGCTTAATTAAAATAATATATTTTTCAAATTTGTCAATTATTTTAAACTCTTACAAAATTTTTCCAATATATTGTCCTATAATTACCATGATTTTTAGGATAAATTCCAAGAGAAAATTCTTTTCGTGTATCTTTATTTCTATAAAAAGCATTTAAATATAAGATAACTGAAATGTAAGATATATATAACAGTAAAACTATTAGTAAAACGTAATAAAACAAGTATTTTAAGAATTTGTTATGTCTTCCATTACGTTACTATTAGTTCTGTTACATTTATTTATATATAATATATAAAATCTAGTAAGCAATTGAATTCTTGTGGAAAGAAACTCGCGAATGTCGCGTTCTAAAATATTTCATGAGATAATTCCCGCATAAGATCGAACTGGACAGGTTTTACCAGCGCGACACGATGCAGCGACGAACCGGATAACACCGTACATCGAAAGTCGGCGGAGTCGCGAGCTTAATTCGCCTCGCTGCCTCAATGGCACCTGTCGTCTCCGGCGGTGAGATGACTCGCGGCCACAATGTTACCGTCATTAATCACGATCGTCGGATGCATCGCGCGCCGTCTCGTCGTCGCCCGACGTGGTGGTTTCTCGCCTTGACGAGCCGGTGCTCCTTCCCTCGTTCTCGAGCCCTCTCGTTCTTGCCGTGTATACTCTTGCCGTCATCCATCATCGCGCCGGCGACAGCCGCGCGGTATCAAAAGCTGCCCCGTTTTCGGTTGCGTATTCGAAGAGTAAAGAGTCAGCCGGCATAGAATTTTCGTGATCCGCAGATCTCGAAGACAAAACGCGCGAGCCATTAGGATGGCGATTTGCGAACGATGAGGGTGGTATTCTTTGAGAGAAATTCAGGGTGTCTAGCGGTCAGGGAAGTCTGGAAAACCGGGCATTGACAGGGAATTTTATAAATCTGAAATTGTTAGAGAAAAATCAGGAAATTTTACTATTTATCTGGATTTTTTTACATTATTCTGCATTTGTCTCTATAATTTGAAATTTTTTATTAAATAAATATAAACTTTTCTTTGACTTCCAGCACGCTAATTTTCTGTGTTAAACATCGATTCATCTACAGCGTGTTTGTTAATTTATATTTTCATCGTCATGTTATTTTATTTCAATGTGTTTAATAGAGGTAAAACTAAAAAATTGATATAATATAAATAAAAAAGGTGATTATTTGAATAGTTTGTAGCGACATGTTTGTTTCGATTATCGTACATAATGCAGATTGTATAATTGATTTAAATTTTTGTGTTTTTAACTTCCGAACCTTTTCATTGTTGGCAAAAATATCTCAAGGATTTCATGATTTAACATTTAATTGATTTATCATATAGATATATGCAAATTATATATTTGGAAAAAATAATACTAAAAAGTTAGAGAGAAAATTAATTTCTGGTCTTGGAAAATCTGAAAAAGTCAGGGAATTTTTTTCATTGAGTCTGCTGGACACCTTGAAATTTTCCTTTTTTTATAGATAGCTTTCATAAATTTTTGATAATGTTCCAAATTATTTTTATCACAACATATACGTGTGTGCTACTTTTTGACATCTAACTGAATATTAATTACATATTACACATTCCCTTACAATGAAACAAACTTGATTGTCATAAAAATAAAAAAAGAAAAATTTAAAGAAAAGTTGATATACAATGATTTGCACAATTATTTCGACATAGTCTGAAAGCTTAAAAAAGCTTGAGTGCCACTACATTAGGACGCATGCCAACCGAATGGCCATTAAGAAAATAGATCAAGTTCTCGGCCAAGTTCCAACTCTCTCTGAATTGAGTCTCCCTCTTCCTTCCTTTCACGCGGGTTAAACCATTTCGTGAGGAATAGCGCGGCGCAAATCCTTTGATCAGATGAAGAGTTTCAATCTTTTGATAATTTTCACGAAGGTGATTAACCGTTTCGGATTAGGTGGAACAAACATTTTGTATACGTATACACATATGTATTATTTTTAATATCAAAACATTGAATATTATCCACGTATTTCTCGAATGCAATTGCACACAAACGCACACACATTTTACATTTTTAACTTTGTATAATGTTCGAAATTTTTTTATAAAAAAATTATTTTTTATAATAAGACCAAAATAAGGCAATCTTAAAACTAATAAAATAAATGGCTGAAACATTTGAGTAGAACCTGTTGTTCGCTCTCAGAATAAGATCCGCGTGCCGTTACGTTGAACGCGTGCAGCTAGTTGACTATCTATAGCTATAGTTTAGACGATGAAAAGGCAAAAATCGCAATCTGATCGATTAGGATAGATTAACATCGACGAAACAGATCAGAATGTAGACCGTCTAGAATTCTTCTTACGCAGCCAGGAAATTAGAATCATTTCCAGGGCAATTTCCTGCCCTCTAGTATATATGATGCCCTTACTCCGCCCTTTTATTCTCTCATGACGAAAGGGCCATCGTGATACTAATCTAGCCGCTCTTCAGGGTGGTGTCCGCGGAAGGAGCAGATGCAGCATGCAGCTCCTTTTTCGATCAATCGATATAACTATACCTCATTGAACGTGAAAGCGATATATTAATTTTTGTTTACTCGCTCCCTTAAATATTGAATTTTTATTGAAATTCAAATATTTGGAATATTCAATTAGTAGCAAATTGTTGTAAATATTAAATAGGGATTTCGTAATTATAATATTTTTAAATAATATGTTCAAAATAAATTTAGAACTACATTGACTTAATATATTTTTTATTTATTTAATTTAATTATATCGTATTAACATTTTATTTTTTTTTAATTTAATTTTATCTATTTTTTATATTAGTACGTAGCTCATTGCATTCAATTGCATGCAATTGCAATTTGCATGTTATTTGTATTCTATCTCGTAAGAATAAGCATTTAATACATAGTAGTCAGACAAGTTTCCATATGATTGTTCATGATTTAGAATGGAGGGGCATCGTGGGCGGCCAAATTCTGGTCTGCATATTATAGTATGCATCCCTCCCTTGAAGAAGCTTGGATCGTATCAGGACTCTTCCTTGGAGAGTCAGCCCTTGAAAATTCTAAAGGATATCTCGCACGGGAGGTCTTTCGTTCATTGGATCTCTAAAGTGTATCTTGCTCCGAAATAACTTGATATTTTTAAAGCGTTTAAGAAGTTTTAAAAAAAGAGATTAACTTATTTTCCATAAATAAATAAGACGATATTTTTATGATGACTTATGCATACGTGCATAAGTATATTCTTTTAACATAATTTAAATAATAATAATAATTACATATATATATTTTTTTTTCAATTTATATTAAAATCAAAAATATTTTATTTGATTTTTAACTAAACTAATAAAATTGTTTCTCGTTTGAAAATGATCTTTTTCCAATAATGACATCAAAGAGACCGGAATGTTCTATTTATTCACTTTATTAGAAACAATGTATGTTTAGAATCGCCGCAGGGCGATTTGATTGTTAACATCTGATGTAGTGTGTTTCCATACGAGAATAGTCTCCAAGATTAGTTTCTACGATCTACGGAAGTGTTTATGTCGAGAAACATAACTGATGAATCATGTTTGAACCGATGCTGAAGAAAGACGTATGATTTATCGCAGTTATTGCACAAATTTTTTAATATAATTCGTTAGATATTATAAAAGATATTGTTAAAAAACTAAATATTATTTTAAAAATTAAATAATTCCTATCAAATCAATTATAATGAATCAAATAATAATAAAAATGTACATCACAGTGATATTAATTAGTAATATGTATTACTCTTTTATTTATAACAAGTTGTTAAGCAATCTTATAACAATTGAAAGACAGACGTCAACATGAGATAAGTAGAGGTATATTTAGATATCTTGATGATAATTATAGGTTAAATTATAATTATATGTTTACACAATGATCACAGTGACTCAACGACAAATGACTGTGACTTTTCTTTTGAAGTTTATCACGACATCTGCAGGAAATTCCCTAACAAATACATTATTATCAGCAATGTAAAATTATGATAAAATGCTTTAAACGAATAATAAGAATATTTTAATGAGATAGGTATTTAACACAAATTATTAACATGCATAAATAGATTTTTGTAGACAAATTTCGAGAGCAATTTTTAACAAATTAGCAAACAAAACCGGCTCGGTCGGAAATCGTAGGTGGAAAAAGTTATCAATGCACAATTTTCTACCAAGGATCAGTATACATTATTGCATCGCGAGTGGGCTGCGAAGGATTGATATGCAAATGCATCTTTTACGCTTCGTAGACTTTGTTGGCTACGTGGTAAGTCGATCGCGTAGGAAAAGCAAAAATCTATCCTTTGAATTTATTTTAAAAATATCGAAAAAATAATTTGTTTCTTTATCGTTTATTTAACTATGCGATAGTGATTTGATTAAAGTTAAATCTTAGAGTTATGGATACAATTTTTTATGAGAAAATCTGCAAATACAAAATTAATTTATAATATTCATATATAATGGAAAGCCATTTTTTAATTTTAAATGTTATCATACATTCAAAATATATGATAACAATTCCCTTTCTCGTCTGCGAAATTTATAATATAATTATACAATACTTAAAATTTTGACAAGTAGAATTTACACAAAATCAATTTGGAAATTTTTTGATTAAAATCTCATCTCATATTACAAAAAGTATATCTAAAAATTAAATTCTTTGCAAATTTTTTTCTTCAA